CGACAAGCTAGTGCGCGAATTCAGACTAAACGTCTTATCGGGATGCATACACACCGTCGCTTAAATTAATTACGTTTATTAAATGGGTATTTAGATTGCATAACTAACGACTTAGAAACTTTTCGACCGTTATTAATTTAAAAAAAAATTAATTATTAATTTTTTTTGCCAGAATTATTTTTGGTTAAATGAATTTATAATTTTGCTTAAAAAGTTTTGATTTATTTGAACGTGAAATACGCAAAGAATTAAATTGACATTAAAGGTTGACCCAAACTTTCGATCCCTCTCCTACCTAAACTATTGGAACCATATTTTTCATATTGTGACGACAACCAATTTAAAGGCAGGAATGGAAATATTACGAAAAGGAGGCATGTTTTTTCAGCGAAACACTTTTTTATTGTTGTGTGATTTTATAATTTAAAATGTAGTCTACAATAATAAATTAGCATATTTAAGATAAGGCTCTTGAACCAAGTTTAGGTAGCGGTTTAGAACAACAGATTTATAATTTTAGGGAACTACCCTTTTTAATCATGTTTTAAGTGGTTTATAATAATACTCTGTTATTATAAACCACTAATCATTACCATGTAATAAAATCCTAATCATCACCGTGCAATCAGTCAGGTGCAGTTTCTGCGATCATTAGTAAAATACCACGGACAACTCCAACTGTATCTAAGTATTAGATAGTATTGAATTTGTCTGTAATCGGCAATTTAATGCCCTGTTTTCATATTTATTTAAATACATAAAATTTTATTTAACCTTCTGATTCTGAAAAATTGTCAATTGTTTCCTGTATTTTTGAAGAAAAAACAAAATTTTAAAACAAAACGAGATATTACGTTATATTTCTACACTAATTTTCTGGTACAATGTTGAATTTTTTTCAAAAATTAAAAAAGTGTCAAAGATTTTGTTTTTTGTAAATTGAAGGGCAATTCTTGAGTCAATATTTTGCATACTTTTAAAGGACTTTCTTTTTGGTTTCACTAGGTGTTTGACGATGTCTCGAAAATCTTATGAGGATTTGACGAGACAAGGCAAATTAAAAAGACTAAAATCTGTTTCCACAAATCCCAGATTAACTGTGAGTAATTGTCCAGATTTAAATAAATCAGATTCAGGATTAGTAAGTTTTGATCATGGTGTTGAAGTTCCTGAAATAATTCAGATACAGGATCAGGACGAATTTCAAAAACAACAAGGAAGCAATTTACAAATCAATATAGAACCTAGTTTCGAAGAAATTTTAAAGCTTGATCCATCTGACGACAAAGATGATTTATACCACAGCTTAGCTTTAACAGAATTAATCTCAGTGAAGGAAAAAATAAAGTTATGGGCGAATTCTTTTCGAATTAATCTTGTTGCAGTAAGTGCATTGCTCTCTTTTCTCCGTGAACATTCGTGTTTTTCGGATATACCGTTAGATGCTAGAACTTTTCTCGAGACTCCTCCTTGCGTCATTACAAGGGCAGTTCAACCAGGCCAGTATTTCCATATTGGAATAAAGAAAAATATCAACAGATTGTTGAAGACTGTGACAAAAAATATTTCAAATATTCAACTACTAATAAATATTAATGGTCTGCCTTTATTCAAAAGCACTTCCACAGAAATTTGGCCTGTTTTAGGTCTTGTAGCAAATATCCCTTCTTTGAAATCCATTGTATTCCCTATAGGCATATACGGTGGGAAAGGATAGCCAAATAATTGTTCTGTTTATTTAAAGGAATTCATAGAAGAGAGTATAAAATTAATAACAGAAGGATTCAGCGCAGCCGGAAAAAAATATCATTAACTATTAAAGGTTTCATTTGTGATGCACCCGCTAAGTCTAGGGCATACCGGGTATAGTCCATGCACAAAATGCCAACAAATTGGTGAATGGGTAAATAATTGTGTAGTATTTACTGCAGCTGAAAGGACCCACGATAAATTTTTTAATGATGAAGACTTTTATGTTTCAGAGTGCTGCTTATTACCCATCCCCAATATTAATTTTGTTCATAGTTTTCCTTTAGATTATATGCACCTAATTTGTCTAAGTGTGTTTATCTATGGATTTTTGGACCCGTACCAATTAAATTTTCCTCATGTATAATAGAAAGCATTTCTTCTGAATTAAATACCTTGAAATTTGTCAGAAAGATTAGAATTTGTCAGAAAGCCCCGCCATTTAAATGATATAAAGAGATGGAAGGCAACTGAGTTTAGACAATTTTTATTCTATACAGGGCCAGTTATATTAAAAAAAATATTTAAAAATGAGTACCTACCAAGATATGACCACTTTCTAAGCCTTTCTACTTCAATTTCAATCTTGCTTTGCCCAGGAATTTGCAGGCCAGAAAATTTAAATTACGCCAATGATTTACTCCAGCATTTTGTCAAGACTACAATCGCATTATATGGTCCACAGTATATTACACATAATTTCCAAAACTTAATCCATCTTTCCAGAAATAGAATTTATTTTGATTCCCTTGATTCTTGTAAATCATTTCCTTTTGAAAACTTTTTACAATCCCTAAAAAAAATTAGTAAGAAAGGGCAACAAGCCTTTGCAACAAATAGTTAAAAGAATTCTTGTTTCGCGTGCGGGTCGTTGGGCTACAGCAGCGAGGGTGCCATCCCCTCTGCAGAGGATCTAAATTGTGATGGCATGTCTTCGGATCATCCTCAGGGATGTTTCCCAGACCGTCGCCAATAGCCCATTCTGCAGCTCCAGTGCGACGTAAATGAACAACAACAACAACAAAAGAATTCTTGAGCAAAATAGATTAAAACCATTTATTTCAACAGCTAATAATTTTCCTCAATACACAAATCCTCATTTCCATGGTCCAGTGTTTTCACCTTCAGATACTAAAGATCAGTTTGGCGCAGTAAAATTTCCTAATTTTAATCTTCGAACTGATTATCCTGATAATTGTTGTTACCTAAAATCTGGAAACATTATTGAAGTACAAAATATTGTTTCATCTAGAAGTGGAAAAAAAATGATGATGGTCTGCAGAGAATTTTTAAACAGGGAAGACTTTTATTCATTTCCTTTCATTAATAGCTCTAAATTAAGGTAATATTCACCTTAAGATAGGCTTTATTTAAGGATTTTTTTCAAGCTTGAGAACCTTAAGACGACCTCGAATTACTGTTGTAAAAAAAAAGGCTGTTTCCCAAGGTTTTGGATTAGGGTAATGTGCGTAGAATAGAGCAGATTGTCACTGATCTCGTTTTAAGGTTAGACGGTTTACACCTAAACCACATAAAAAACCTTTTTAGGTTTACATGAAAAGGTTTTTGTCTAGTGAAAATAAACCTTACTTTGCTATCTGGGATGGCCTCTTATGAGATGCTCGACTCCAAATGTTCACTGGATGCAGCTCCCGTCAAGGGCGCTGGCAGCGGGGTGCAAGGGGGGGGGGCACTTGCACCCCCCCCCTGCCTTTTTTTAAAACAATTAAAGAGATACAGATAAACAATTTTGTTATAAAAGTTTTTTATTAAACATATTTTTATTGAACAAATGTGGCAGACATCTGAGCTATATTATTTAATAACCTATATTATATATATTTCATTTAATAAAATATAAGTAATATTATATTTTCTACTAGTTATTTAGTTTAACAAAGGTGTATAACACTAACTGACTTCTCAAAACTGTATAACTTCATCAACACAATAAATACCAATGTTAAGCGTGCACAAACACGTTAGTATACGAAACTATTGTTTGTAGTTATTTGTGTTTCAAAGTCAGTAGCTCTGCCAGCGCCATCAGTACAGTTTCTCGTGGCAAAATTTGCAAGTACAAGANCATGAAAAACCTTTTTAGGTTTACATGAAAAGGTTTTTGTCTAAGTGAAAATAAACCTTACTTTGCTATCTGGGATGGCCTCTTATGATATGCTCGACTCCAAATGTTCACTGTATGCAGCTCCCGTCGCAATTTTCTCACACTAACAGGTTGGGATGGATCTTCATTCATTAACTGAAGCAATTCCTGTCGACCAGTCCTGTTGATTCCTGTCGAAGCGATTCCTGGATCCAGTTTGGAAGCGATTTTGATTGACAAGTCGAGAAAAAAGTCTCCGGTCCCTTTCATGCAGGATCTTTTTCCGATCACAATTCTGCCGTCGTCTTTCGTGACCACGTGTATAACATCATTGCTTGTAGACACGTTGAACAGTCCGCATCGAAACACCAACAAATCCAGCAACTCCATTAACCGTATGACCATGGGCACGGCCAAACACAATTGTGTTTGACAAAAAGGAGCAATTAATTGCTCCTTTTTGCCACTCTATTACATCCTTACACTTATCCATAATTACACGCAATTTCCTCTTCAAACATAAATATTTCACTGATAGCTACTTGCCTTTGATCTCGTTGAAGCAGTGTGCACGTAGTTGATCACGTTACTTCACCATTGCGTCATCTAACGAAATTTAACGATTCATCGGTGCTTGCGCACTTAGGGTGACTAATTTTTTAGCTTATAAAGAAAGTATATATAAATTTATCAAAAATGTATGAATGATTTCCAATTTTAAAAAGGACAAATAAATTCTATTAAAGTTCAATTTGTTCTTTTCCTTTGCAGGTATCAGTTTAATTCAACAGATATATTTTTCAGAATAATTTATTGACATTAAATTAATAATTTATTTTCCTTGAATTTAAAAATACATAATACTTAAATTTAAATTAAAAAATGATTTTAATAATTTTTCCAAACACATGTTTGATAAGTACACGTTTGAAAGTTTAAACAGTTCGATTGATATTTCATTTTCTAAGAAAAAATTGCTTTTACGAACAGAAAATAAGAAGAGAAAAAACGCTAAGTGCTTCTTGGTAAAATGACAAAGGTTGTTAAAATAAAAAAATTAAACAAGAACCAAAATTCAGAGAACAAATATGATTCTAATTAGACTTGTTGCCAATCCGTTTATCAAAGAATTGGTAAAATGTAAAAAAATAATATCGATACCTGCCTTAAAATTAATTATCGATTGCAAAATTATGTTTGTGTTTTTCTCTTTAAGTTCTCTAATCGAAATTTGATTTTAGCAGAAATAAGCTGTAAATAACGTTTCTGTTAAGTATTAAGCAGAAAACACAAAAGTGCGGAAAATAAATCTAGGTCTACATCTTTTGGGATGTAATCTATATTTGCCAAAGAATAAATATTGAAATTTAGTTTAGCGTCGAGAGCAGTTTGCAGATAAAAGAAATTTGTAATGTCTTTATTGTTTACTGGATCACCCAAAGTTCATTCAATACCTCGCCATGTATTGGTTCAAAAGGTTTGTATATGTCCAATGTGTTCCACTTCTAAATATGTTATGAAAATATTTACCCCGACCTGCCCCAATTCAGGGCATACGGGTAAATTTTTATTAAAACCAAGTAAAAACAGAAAAGAACATAAAAAGCAAAAAGTGCAAAAATACGAGAGTCATATGCCAACAGCTGGGAGGGCCCACCCTTGTACTGAGCCAAATTACAATAGTATTGAAGACCCCAACTAAGTTACAGAGAATACAGTATGTGTTACAATACATAATGAGTAGTTACAAGATATAAACATCTAAAATAAAACAAGACAAAGATATGAATACAATTATAAAAAAAAAAAAATTTCTTCTTTTTTCCTTTCCCGTCTATTTTTGTTGATAAAAACGCTAAAAGCGAATATACAAGTGAGTAAAAACATCAAGATGAATTAAAATTAGTGTTGAGGTGATAGAACAGAAGACCAACGGAGTCCCACAGGATGCTCAAGTTTGAAAAATATAAAAGGGGAATGTCGCTTTAAAATAGAAGTGGATTGGCAGTTCAGGTATTGAGGGGAGACATCAAGTCAACCTAAGTGTATAGGGTCCATCGGATCGTCCATGATAATGGTATCTTCTAGTGTGCTTTTAATAATTTCTCTAATGATTTGTTGCTGTTGTTTTGTTTTTATTACAGGTACGAAGGAGTTTTTCTGGTTGTGATTAGATAATTATACCAGTAATGGTTTTTTTCAGCATTATAGTCATAATGTGTTGAGTAGTAATTAATGCTCATTCAAAACTCTTTCTTATTTATATACAAAATAGAGCTAGCTGGCATGTGCAGAAACAATCTCAAATGCTTGTTTAAAAAAATATATGTATTAGTGTTGTAGTGCCATTGGTGAATATTTGTACTGATTTATAGTTATTTAATAAATTTTGGAATCAATGTTCAAATTTTATTTCATTTAGGCCAAAAAGAAATGTTTTCCATATTGAGGGGATATTTCCATATTGTGATCTGTCGCGCCAACTACAATCGCCAAGGTGCCAAATAGATTTTAAACTTGCATATTTTTTTAAAAAACACATGTAGATGTTCGCCCGGGGCTTTGACTACGAGTTATACCTTTCGATTTGGTCCCTTTCTGTGATGTTTTTTTTTAGAGTCTCGTGGGCCACTGCCCAGAAGTTTCCAAGACTTGGTGATAATTCTGCCACAGATCACGATACGGAAATCTCCCTATTCATATTGGTACCTGTTTTTGCCTTTTACAATCGCCAAAGCATCAAAGGATTTTTGAACTTGAAAAAGTTAAACTAGTTTGCCTGGAAGTGGTTATGCGTTATGTCTCTCCTTTAGGAATATTTTTTCTAGTTTCTTTCATACTACTGCCTGGATGTTGTCAAAACTTGGCCATTATTTTGGGACAGGTACCAATGTAGAAAACATTTTCTTTCTAATCTTGTATCCATTTAAACTTAGTAGTTTTAAAAGGTTAATTTTATGCCTTTTGGCCTATGATAATAATTTGAGTTTGATTGTTTAAAAGTTAAATTTAAAAAAAGATTTTATTTTCTTATAATGCACTGTGTTTTGACTTTATTTTTAAAAATCTCCAAAAATAAATGGTAATAAAAATGTCCAATAATAATTGATAAATTTTTGACATCTAATGTTGGGAATTTTTTTTCCTTCTCAGTAATAGCCTTCAATATTTTACTTACGATTGCTAGTTTATAGGTTACCAATTTTGCTAAAGATTATTGAACCCTTCTGAGTTCACAAATCTGTTGCCCTAAGAAGTAAAATGTTATTTTTATCTCAAATTCTTCTAGACTACCTTCAGGTAAGTATTACGAGGTGAAGACCATCCAAAGTCAAGTTAGCATTCAAACACATGTTAATTAGTCCTCTACATCACAGGGTTATTTTTCAACTATCCATAGTAATATTGTAAATCCAACATTACATGAAAAGATTGGCTGGATTTTAAATAATAAATGAGGTAACTTCTATTTTCCATTCTCATATTAATAGAGCCTGGTGATATTAAGAGAATAAATTGAACTAAATTTTTCTTTATTGCCTATTTGGATCCAGTTTGCCCAAATTTATATAACTCTAAAGAATTAAGTTGGTATTTGTAAATGTTTTATTTATTTTTGTTGTTGACCTATTTGTAAATGGTGAAGTTATATGCAGTATGATTTAAGAGCTATTTAGTTTAGAAATATATTAGGGGTCGTTCAAAAAGTAAGTACCCAAAAATTGAGAAATTTTAACCCCCTCCCTTCATACATTACCGTACATAAGGTCTTACTCCCCCCCCCCTCCTTTGAGTACGTACATTTTATTAGTCTACCCCTCTTTTTCATAAAAATTAAAATAATTATGTTTTAAATTAAATATATATTCAAAATAATGTACGTACTTNGTACTTTTTGAATGGCCCCTTATAAGTTTCGCCGTGATGTCTCAGTGGTTAAAGCACTGAATTGTCATTTTGAAGAACTAAGGCTCGATCCAGAGTGGAATGTTTTCAGATCAACCTCAGAGATGTTTCCAAGTAAGTCAGTAATAGCCTATTTTGCAGCGCTAGTACCATGTAAATAAAGTATTACAACTGCTAAATGTATGTGTAAATATTAATCCTTTTTTCTTTTCATTTTGAATGAATATATTAAGAAATTATTTGTATAATATCTCTCATGTTTTGAAGTTAATGTATTTATCTTTCAGATGCTGGAAGAAAACAATTTTCTGATCAAAATCATAAAATACTATCAAAACAGAGGAAGAGCAATAGAAGTGCACCAGTAAATTTCATTTTATTTTATAACATTAAAAATTATTCATTCCTGTATTTTGCATTTTCTTGCCTTGCTTAATTTTTAATAATTTAGATGAAAAGTATTTAATCCCTTAATGTTTGAAATATCTAATTATGAATCTATCATACTTCTGTTGCTTATAATAGTGAGGAAAAAAAACTTCATTGTGGTATTCTTTAATGTTTTTTATGAATAAAAATGAACTATTATGGTTAAGATAGCTTATATATTTTTATGAGAAATGCATATTAATTTTTCTTTTTAAATAAATTGTATAGTTTCTTATGATAATCAAATAAAGTTTGCTAGGGATTTGCCTGAATTTCCGAACTTTGGAAAAATTATTTGAATTTCTTTTCTGTATTATTAAACTTTGAACTCATCTACAATTATTAAAAATTAATAAAAGGTAATTAAAAAATTTTATTTTTCATAATGAAGTTAAAATATTTGTTATAATAAAAGTTATTATTTTGAAGAATTCTAATTTTATTTCCAAATTAAGAGAAAATAAAATTAAATCTTTTAAAACACTTTTTAAATTTACTGAATTTGTTGCACAAAATATGGGAAACCAAAATAGATACCTGAGGCCTTTTACCAGTCTTAAATATAGGCATGAAAATGCAGAAGTATTTTTTTTCTTTTTAAATAAAAGGAAATGCTGTCTTTTTTTCTTTTTTTTGTTTCTTTTTTTTTTTTGACTGGCACATCAAAACAAAAAGTAGCAATCAAAGTAAATACAATTAAAAAATTACATTATCATAATGTTTAGTTAATCTAACAAATTTAATTAGTTGAAGGTAATTATTATATATTTTAGCAGCATCTAAAGTTTTTTATTTATCCAGAGAAGTATCTAAAAAGCGTACACTGCAATTTCTATTCACATGATTTAAAAATTCAATTTCTCTATAATTTGTATTTACAAGATTTTAAAGTTCAATATTGCGATTCTTGTAAAGTGTAATTTTTTTTCTTGAATTTGCTAGTCTAAAGGTGGGGCATATCTTCAGAGATGATTGTGATCCGAAAATCCAAGGTCCAGAAGTTTCAAGAAATTATCAATCACACTTATGTATAAAAATTCTTGTATATTTTATTTAAAAATATTAGAAATTGAATTTATACTTAGCATCTCTTTCATGTGTAAATATTTTTTCTGGTAGAATAATAAATGTCATTAGAGATAAAAGTAAACTTATACATAATTATTAATTTAAATTATGCTGCATGTAAGTTATTTAGAATTTTATGTTGTGAAAATATCAATGATTTATTTTTGACATTGATTTTTTTAAATGCGTCATTAGCACGTTGAATGCCACGCTAATTTTACATGGCTTGCCTGTTCTGCCAAAATGATTTTCTCAGTATGCATTGAAATATTATTTACAACAAAACAGTTCATTTTTGTAATCATTCGTGATGCATATAATTAACTGAGGTCATCAGTGACCCCCATGGCATTCAACATGTTAAGGTTACATGTCATATATGTATATAAATAAAACTATTTTTGTGTGTTCTATATTGCATTAATTTCTTCAAACCATTTTAGTAACGATAATATAAAAAAATTAAAAGTATTGAAAATTTACTAGAATTATGTATTTCTAATAGTCTTGGCTTTGTTAATAACCGGTGACCCCCGTGGCGCTACGAACAAACTCAGTGCCTGTCACCGCTGACCCCCATGGCATTCATTGTATTAATTTCCCTCAAATCACCCCTCACAATCACCCCTGTATTTTGTATTAGTAAGTAATTTAATTATAAATGTTAGTTAAAAAAATTGTTAAATAGGAAACATTTATGGTATATAAAATTGATATTGATCTTTCGTGCATCAGTTTTTCACTTTATGCCACAATTATTCTGGCACAATATTGTGTTATTTATTATCACTGTCTATTTTAACACAAATATTTGGCCTTTTTCTGAAAATGGAACTAAAGTTACTTTTTGTTTCATGATTTATTTCTGCAGCTCAGAATTTTGTTTAAATTTTTTTTCAACATCTGCTTTCAAAGTTTTTTTTAAACTTTGAATGCAAAGCCATAATTTAATTGAAGCTTCAAATATAATTTGCTCATTCTAAGATGTTTGTTTCTTAGGTAAACACAGGTACATATATTATATTGTATGATTTTGCTACTGTCAGTATCTACATTTATTCTAAACTAATCAAGTTTTTTATTATCTGTTTACTTTTTATAGGCTTTTGCAAGTCTTGCATCGAAATATGATTCTTTTGGGAAGCATTGCTGATGAAATATATAATATTTCCTCAAATGTAAGTACAAAGATGTTTGTGAATATGTAATTTCTTGTAAAGTTGACCATACAGAATTCATGCATCTCAAAGATATCCTTGAAAGTTATGGGGAATTAAAATTAGCTTAAACTAAGTGAAAAGAAAAATTTTTACTAAAAACTAAGATCAGGGTGGCCACCCACCTGGAAAACCTGGAATTATCAGGGAATTTTTTTTATACTGGGAAAAACCTGGAAAAATCAGGGAAATATGGATAAAAACCTGGAAAACCTGGGAATTTTAAAGAAAAACTTGAAATTTTTTCTTATATATTTTTTCAATTTCACTAATTTAAATTATTTGCTAATTTTCTTAATTTAAATTGTTTCATCCATTATACCCACATTTTTTAGACGGAAATGTATCTCCAAACAGTTAAAATATCATCAACTTACTTTGCTTTCATCAAAATTTGCTCCATTATAACCCTGTTAAACTAGAATACAACATAAAATTCNTGCATAAAAAATTTGAACGTCTTACATGAAGAAACCTTACCTACGGTAAACACGTGGTTGCAGAGAAATTTGTTCTGCAAGGGGTTCCGTGGTTGTGTTCTGTTGTTCGAAAAGGTTCTGAACAGTATACTGGTAAATAGGGAAGCTAGATAATGGGGCAGATGTTGAAAATAATGAAAGATCCAGAAAGAAAAGTGAAACAGATTTCATTCTAAATGGCGTGATTTGAAGCTTTTTCCAAAATGCGAGAAATTCATGAATTTTGAAATTGAATTATAGAATGCTCGAATTTCTCGCTGCAATAATTTTTTAATGCGAGAAAAGAAAAAAAATATGCGAGATTCCCGTGCTGTAATGAAAACACTGAATTAATTATCCTTCATTTGTAAAGGAAGTTTAGAAACGGATGTCGCTGCCAATTCTTTTATTCCCAATAATAAAATTGCTTCCGAGATCATAAAAAAACATTTTTTTTGATCTAAAATACTAAGGCGAGAAATATCATAACTATCTTTACAACCGGAAGAATTGGTCATTACCAACAAAACTTTTTTAAAACATATGCCAGATATTGAATGAAAATCGGTCTGATCTATTCCTGTATCCTTTCTCTCTGGTGTTAAAGCAGCATCTATTTGTTGATCCGGTTCACTGGGAGTCTGTCGAATCTCCAAGCATATTATAAAACATCCCGATAATGCCCTCGCAAAATCGGTTCGAGAGTTGCTCAGAGAAGCCTTATTCTGTGCCATGGATGAAGATTTATTGCCTGGCGTTATTAGTGACGATCCTTTGTGCATATTTCATGAAAACTTAAACATAGTTCACGAGCAAGTCGAAAAAGTTGAATCTATGAAAAAACGACACTAACTCGTAGATGTATGTGAATAACTTTTATCGCTGGTCATACTCGATAAATTGTGAATTTCGAAAAAATTATCTTCCAACCCCTACAAAAGAAGTTTTTTTTTTTTTAATTTGTATATTAAAAATGTAGAATTGGAAAATGAACTGTGGAAATAAAATTTAAAAACACATTTTGAACTTTGATTATTAAACTTGTATAAATGTTTTTACAATTTTCATTGTAACTAAAACGCTAGCTCTTTTTATTTTATTCTTTCAATCACATAAGTCATTCATATTCACAGGGCCCAACTTAGAGTCATTGGGGCCTAGGGCAAAAACTTCTTTCGGGGCCCCCTCTGCTTCACTACTTAATTAAGGTATTTAATATGGAGGAATTTTAAGGTATTTAAATTTCACCTCATTATAGATAACGAGAAAATTGACTAGAATCTAAAATAGCTTTGAAGTCCCTCCCCCTGCAGTGGTCAGACAAAATATTGTTCTGACCATTTTATTGATTTGCTGTTAATTCTATGTCCATCATGCCGAATGCAGTTTTCTGATTGTTAACTTAGACATCTAGCAGCGAAAATATCCTTGCTGACATTATGGCTACGTTTACACTATTACAATGGCTCAATTAAGCCAATCAGAAGCCTGTATTTTTGTAAATATATTGCATTTTGCTATATGTAAAAATACAGGTTTTTGATTGGCCAAATTTGTCAATCGTAATTTTGAAAATTTATCTGAATTCCGCCTTAATAAACCATGGATTTACGTAAGATAGATTGTGTTCATACGACAGATTAATGAAGAAGCTAACATAGAACTGACTGATTTTACACTGTACTGATATATTTTTTAAAAAAGTTCATTAAAGAATGTAACGTAAAATAAACTTTCTACTGGATTTGGGGGTCCCCTGTAATGTGGGGGCCCGGTGCAACTGCCCCGTATGCCCCTGCCTTACTCAGACTCGGCATATTCAGCTTGTGTACATACATCAAAAACAAATTCATAGCTAGAATAGACATTGCTCCAAGACAACAAATTCAACTTATGAACATAAAATCTAATTTACGATTACTAATGATATAACACTGAAAAATTTTCGATCCTCTTATTTTATAAGTCTATGGACAGCCGACCCAATTTTGGTTTTATGACTACTAATGTTCATCAACTCCGTAGGCTTGTAATTTTGAACTCAATCCAGAAGAAAAGGGAAGTAATTGGCCTTGGTGGAGGACTTTTTGATGGAATTAATAAAGTAGTCTTTTATTGGTTAATGTGTTCACAATTGTCTTGACATATTTAACATATAAAGTGGGGGATCCGACGTAAGAAAGCTTATTATTTAGGGTTCCATAACTGAAAACAATTTGGGAACTGCTGATTTATCTGACCATTTATCTATTTTTTAATTATTTATATATTTTGGTGTGAAAAAATAATTCTAATTTATTAAAATAATATTAATTTACCTTTCTTACCGTAGGTAAAAATATTTTCTGAAACAACGGGAATTCCATTGTATTTCGAGGATATAATTACATATGTGACTAGTAATACCACAGAGTTCAAGCACTGATTCATTAGAAATAATTTTTATAATAATTTTCTTAAATTTTTACAGGATGCGCCTAATAATTGTTATAATTTTTTTAAATTTTTACAGGATGTGCCTAATAATTGTTATAATTTTCTTAAATTTTTGCAGGATGCACCCAATTCTACCACTAGTTCGGATGAGCAGACTTCAGGAACCCAAGACACTGGGTCTTCTGATGACCAACAGGTCCAATCAAATACTTGAATAATACTTATTTAATTATATATTTTCTGTAACTTTATAGAAAAGGTGTAAATATATGCAGCTGTAACATATTCAATTGTATTTGAAATATCTTCATGGCATTTTTTTGTAAATAGTGTACATACATTTTAAATAAATATGTATAAAAATGTTTTAGCTTTTATTTTATGTATGATTCATATAGCATGTAAAAAGTTTTCCTTGCTCTTTTTCATAACTAGATCAATACTGTGTTGTAGACAAAATCATGGTTTACTGACCCACACAACTCTCAGGCCTCGCAGCGCTCCTATATTTCCTATTAATCTAGAAAAATTGCTATATTTCCTATTTTTTCCTATATTTTCTGTATTATTTTCCTTAATTTTCCCTTATAATCCTTTCTCAACGTCCGCTCTCCCGATTTGCGCTAGTCTGATGTCAATCATCAAACCACACCTAAAAATTCTTTAACCAATCATCCGTTTGCAATGTCTTAACCCAGCTGCACCAAGTACAAGTAAAAGGGAATCGTCAGCAAGTGAAAGAAATATATGTGAGGTTTGTGGAATAAGATATAGAATAGAAAGGGTGTGAAAAGAAGGAACCCAGAACGAAGCAATATATTTTAGTGTAGTCATGCGGATTCAATAAAGTGATTTTCGTTTTCAAGGTAAGTNTAACATTATATTCTGATATAAGTCTACGGTTTATTCAAATATATTAAGAAATATATTCCAACCTACTCCTGGACAAGAAAGCTAAAATTTGTCTACAATCTGTGTTCTTTTTTTCTCCAGTTAGATTATCTAATAAAACATTTAGTTTTAAAGCCAAGATAGGGTTTTGTAGAAATGTTTTTTCATAACATTAGTTTTGAATAACACATAAATAAAAGTTGTACATGTTCTATGCAAATTTTGAATCTATATTTTTTAAACAAAATATTAGGGATTCTTATATTATTTTCAAAACATTCCTATAAAATTCCTATAATTTCTTAAATGAATTCCTATATTTCCTATTATATTTTTGCTCTGAGTCACTTCTAGGCCTGAACTCTTTAACTCCAATTGATGAGGATGAGTCAATCCATGTGAAATTTTTAGTATTTGAATCAATCGAGGATATTTAAGTTAAAACAGGTTTTAACAGGTTGAGCTTAATCAGTTTTGAACTTTAATATATCTTAAATTTATTTGTTTCATTCACTTTTATAGATGTCTTAGTACATTCATTCATTAATATATTATAATTATCCAGTATTTGCTATTAAAATGAAGTATGAGTAAAAAAATGTCATCTGCTTTAAAAATTTGGGGACTCCCATAGGTCAGTGAGAACAGGGAAAATCTGAAATCATCAAGGAATTTTATGTTGATTTCAAAAAACTAGAAAAATAGCATTATTTTTCCTTTTTTTAAAAACCTGGAAAATTTGTGCATCATACCTGGAAAATAACCAGTCTTAAAATTGTCAGTGACAGTAATCAGTTATTGAGACTTGATTTGGTCCATGTTAATTTTGTTGAACAGGTTAATTTAACAGGTTGCGCTTAATCAGTTTTAAACTTTGATTTATCTTAAATTTATTTGTTTCATTCGCTTTTATAGATGTCATAGTACGTACATTCATTCATCAATATATTATAATTAATTAGTATTTGCTATCAAAATGAAGTATGAGTAAAAAAATGTCATCTGCTTTGAAAATTTCAGGACTCCCACAAGTCAGCAAGAATAGAAAAATCTAGAATCTTCAAGGAATTTTATGTTTACTTCAAACTGCAGAAAAATACCTTTTTTTTAAATACAAAAACGTGGAAAATTCTTTCATTATATTGGAAAATAATTTCTCATTATACTGGAAAATAACCAGCCTTTGAATTGTCAGTAACAGTAATCAGTTATTCAGATTTGTAACATCTATCACAATTATTTGTTGTAAAAATTCCACTCTTCATTCAATGATACATTTTTGCTTGCAAACTCTAACACCATTACAAATAAAATAATAAAAGTTTATCGATTAAAAATTTTATTGTATAGATAAAATGTCTGGATTTAATTTGAAATTTTCCTGATATACCTTAAAAAATCGGGGAATTTTTTTTCTAAAATTTTTTTTAAAAAGGTATTAGAACTTGTAAATTAATTTGAAATTATTTGATTTATATTTTAAAATATGAAAGGAATAATCAGGAAAACTTGTTTTAGTTTAAAAATCAATTACAAATTTTATTTGATTTTAGAATTTCTAAAGTGTTGATCTGAATGCATTAAGTTATATATTTTAAAATTTTTTCTATAATTCTCTTTAATACTAGTCAGAGATGTTTTCAGGGAAGCATTTCACAATTTATCTGTTTTGTTTGAATAAAATAATATTCTAATGTGTATTTAAAATGAGAATTGCACTAAAATATTTCAAAAAAGATATATATATATAAAGAATAATTTATTGCTGAAGTTCATTAAGTTATAAGCCATACCTTGTCTATAAGTAGCATTTCTGGAATGAACTGTTTCTTGTATCGATTCCAAATTGGTGCTTATTAAGTTTCCAGAATTTTGCTAGATAAAAGCACAATACACTCTGAATGTCTTATTGATTACGTGAAAATCATTTTTTTTCGCCAAAAACATTAATAAATTGTTGCTCATTACAGGTTCATAAGAGAGCAGAGTTTGTTTATATAATTATTAAAAAAAAAACTTTATAAATTAAAAAATAGTCTAAAAAAGTTATCATTAAAAAATATTTTTAAAAAATTACCATATCTAAAATATTTAAGTCTGTGCATTGAGAGAAGAAAAATATCAAAACCAACTGGGTTGCCTGAGATTTGATTGAAACTGTTGACTGCCTTTCAACTGATCTCTTGCCATCAAACAAATTTTCGTGTTCACCGTCCCGTTTTCCTAATGCTTGTTGAAAAACAAAAAATATTCCTTATTTCCAAAACAAATCTGTTTTGCTAACAAAAAAGTGGTTTCACATTCAGGATATTATAAATTTAAATTTTTTAAAAAAAGCATTTTTGCCTTTAGTATTTACATTTGCCAGTTTTTATTCTCAAGAAATTAGTATAAAAATTATACAAGAAATTATTACATGAATACAATGATATAAAAATTAGACTGACTAGCTTTTTAGTGAAGTGGAGTACAAAAAAATGTTTTCACATTCAGGATAATTATAAATGTAAACAAAACTTTAAACATTTTTACCTTTGATACTTAAATTTACCAGTTTTTATTCTTAACAATTAGTGTTTTACTAGCTAGCATTCACAAATACAAGTTAAACTGCTTATAGTTTTATAATAGCAATCTATGCATACGAACAGTAACAATGCTAAATTAAATCAAAAGTTTTATTTTTTCTACCATTTCTAACAATAGTTCTCCTCTAAAGCATTTCTTTATTTTAGTTATGTGTATCTAAGAAGTTTTCTGGAATGAGCAACGTTTGCTCTGACATTTCTTTGAGATCTTCTTAATGGCCCAATAATTTATGCTGGGCTGGAAATTTTTTCCTCACTCCTTGAACTCTGCCTTTATCAACGGTCATGCTGTTCTCTTTGATGGCTATTTCTCGTTCTAGATCTCTCCTTGTCTCCTGTAAGTTACTCAGAGAAGCTTCTGCTCTGGCTAATTGCTCTTGTAGAGACTGAATGGTCGCTGCCAGTTCACGAGATTCTGTTATCAGACTTAAAAAATAAAACTTTATTTAAAATATCTGTGATTAATTAATTTCAAAAAATAAAAAACTAGTTAGCAAACATTCTATTCTGCTAATTTTTTAAATTCTAAAATTGTTTCTAAATTTGTCACAGTATTTCAGTATTAGTTTCTGAAATTTACGGATTTAACACACGATTTTAGTGACACTGTTAAATTCTTTTGTAACCGTCATTGAACAGCCGACCCAATTGTGGGTTTACGATTACTATTTTTCAAATTTGTAGCCTAGTAATTTTGAACCCAACTCAGAAGACAAGGGAACTCTTAGATCAAATATTGGGAGAAATGCGACTTCGTGGAGGACTTTTTGATGGAACTAACCCGCATTTGCGTTACATGGAGAGGAAAGCCTCCAACAATTAGCCCGACGGCAAAGGGACTCTAACCCATAATGCGTCTACCACTAAGGATATTTTACGTCAACACTGTGGTCGGTACAAACAGGGTGCGGAGTTCGTATCTACAGGAAATCGTTGGGATTCGAACCTGGTTCCTGAGCCACCACTGCTCTCTGTTATATTTTTTGTAAATAAAATAGGCATCCAAAGGTTATGATTTCCTCACTTTTACCCTCTCCATTATAGTCTGTCTATGGAAAGAACTACCCTCGCCATTCTCCAAAAGCAGTGACTATGGTTACGAGGTTTGACTATTTAAAGTAAGGTTGTTGTGTCACTATTTAAGACAGGTTTTGCCACGGGTCGGTGAGAGAAGCCACTTTTTTAAAATGCGCTATTTCTTGTTTCCATGGCAGCCGACGGTCTAAGACTTTGTGACAAGAGGAGTCCTTTCTATAGACAAACTATATAATGCTTTCGAGAAATTTTGCTTTCCGCACAAGTATATTCCCACTTCTTACTGAAACGTAAAAGCAATATTTGTAGAAACTATGATTACGAAGAGGGAAAAAGTGTAAGACTTGGGAAATTGCATACATTTAGAGATATATATTCTTTGCAAATATAATAGGTAAGTTTTAAAATTTTTATCATTCTAATGAACTTAACAAATTGTTATTATCTGAATTTTATAATAAATATTTTGTTAAAGTTTTGTGCAATCGTTTAGTATTTATATACCTTCAAAACCGCTATATAATTTTCTGTACCTATTATAAAATCGATACGTAATTTATTTTGTACGTGACAGACGGAAGAATTGTATACCCAAATATTATATAATGGAGTTATGGAATATATAAACTTTTAGACCTGCTCTTATTACAAAGGAGAACTTTTTAAATATTTGAAAATGATACACGGTTAAGAATGTTTCACAAAAGAGTTAACAAAAATTATTGATTTAGTAAGTGAGTCATATTAAATTATATAGAAATATTTTTCAAAGCAATATTCCATGTTTATCCGCTCCACTTTGAAAATAGGATTTCTGATAGACGTATTAGAAGTACACCTCAAAACAAACCCACAAGAATACTAATACAGTCAAACTCCGGTATAGTGAACCTTCAAGAGACCGAAATTTTGGTTCACTATATCCGTTCCGCAGGCAATTTAACTAATGGTTCCCAAACTCCTCCCTTTTATTACACATTATTTAAATAAATGACTGTAAAATATTATTTAGTAGCGAAAAATGTGTTATTTTTTATTACTCTTCGTCTTGCTTACAAAAAAAAATTAAATAAAAAATTTTTAATCTTTAGCTGATGAGCAATCCTGACAGAAAATGCATATTGATCCCACTGACACCTTACAGGTGCATTATCTGCCAGGGTTGGAAATATCTGCTTGGTTTGTTTAGGGATGGGGCAGTGAGATAAAAGAAGCTTATCGCTAAATTCCCCTCTATAGATGGGTTTAAAAAGCGGTATATGTATTTATTTTAAAATAAAAATTACAAAAAAAATCAAGAAAAAAATCAGTTGAAGACAGAAAAAAGTTCATTATATCAAACTTCCTCACTTTTTTGGTTCACTATCGCCACAAAAAATAACATTATACGTGTATAGCAAGGCACGGGACTTAACATTTCGTTCACTATAAACCGTGTTCACTATAGCGGGGTTTGACTGTATTTATTTTGTCATTTTAAAATATATAAAATCAAAATGCCAACTTAAAAAAAAAATAGTAATTTTTTTTACTTAAAATTGTAATTTTGATATTTAAAAATAAACACAAATGTTTTGCATTTATAATTTTAACTAACAATTTAGCTTATGATCTGGGAAAATAAATTGAATTCTAAATTTTTAACTTAATTTCAAGTCTTAAATCTTCAAGGCTATTCTTATCTCGTAGATAAATTTAACATTCATGTTATTTTCCTTAAGAAATATATATATGGAAGTGAGCATCTAAATTATGTGAAATTTAGAGACTATTTATGCACAACATAAATACTTTAAGGAGCTCTATTTTAAAAAAATTACGTAGGAGAATAGAATATCAATAAAAAATTATACATGCAATTTATTTACATAATGATTCGATAAGTTCAGGATTTTAAGAATTTGAAAAGAAATCAAGACACTTTTAGTAGTAAATCGTTCTACTACTATAGTTTATAAGTTGTGCAAAGTTTGAATGCTGATTTTAAGGTATCCGTCTGGGTAAAAATCGGCAATTTCAATTTTTTTTAAATTATCCATATTTGAACTTTAATTCATTAGCTTTCCAAAATTCTTTAAATTTTTGAGCTCCGATTTTTGGGAATGAAGTTTTTTCGTATGCTGAAAGACGAAACCGAAAATAAACTCCCGAAAACGAAACTGGAATTTTTTTTCCATGAAAATTTTAACCTTTTTTTTCATTTGAATAAATTATATTTTTAAGACAAATTCATTTTTAGAAATTAATTTTTGAATTATTGATTTCTTTGTTATCAGAATTTTCTTACATTTACAGAAAAACGCTGATTTTGAGAAAAATTCCTTGTACTAACACGCATTACTAAGAAAGTTTATTATAGAATTCTTTGAAATTTTGCGTCTAGATTTTGTATAAAGTTATAAAATACGTAGATTTAGAGTAAATTTGTAACAATGTACTGAACTAAAAGCTAAGGTGTGAGTGTAAATTTGTTATTTTCATTAAGCTTTAAGTAAGAATATTTAGAATTTCTCTTTAAAATTTCGATACTAAACAATGAATTTTAAAGTTTTTGTTCAAAACACAGGTAATCATATTAATGATCTACTAAAAATATTTATTTTGAAATGTATGCATTGCAATTTGTTGTAGAGCTGTTAGCGTGACAGGAAAAAAATTGTAGTTTTTAAATTCAAATCTGCCCTTATTTTGAAAAATATTTTGTCATTTTTTACACTTCACTACATTTAGGACACTCGTTTGCCGAAAATAAAATTAAAATTTTAATTAAGGCCTTTTTTTTAAAAGAAATTTGTCATTTTCCTACACGATGTATGAATGCATTTTTTTCCCCTTTGACATTATAATTATTTGGATGTGTTAGCAGGCTGTTAAAAATTTTATTGCGTGTTAAACAATAGTATTGTTCAAATTTGCTGTAAACATAATACTGCTAAGTTGCGAACGGGAATATGATTTAATTTAACCTGACTAAATTTGTAAGGTACATACAAAGAGAAATGTTACAGATTTTATGGCAAAACGAAGTGTTTCTGAGAGAGTAAGAGTCATCAAATAATGTAAAAAATGTTTGATTTTTTTTTAAACATCGTTTTTTTTCTTCTTCTTTTGATAATTTAACAATTGTGTTCTAGAAAGTAAAAAATGAAGAGCCACATACCCAAGATGTGCTTTATCTTCGCAAAGTTCAACGTTTGGGCGCTCGTTTCGTAAGTGGAGTCTAGTTTGAACTTTTTTCAAAGGCGCTTCTTTCTCTAAAATCTGTTTCTTCAAAAACGTAATGAGTTTCTCAGCTTCAGCTATGTCTCCCATTATCTAAAAGAGAGACAGTAAATAATAATCGAGGGACTGAATGAAATGAAGGGCTCTAAGTGGCATTCTAATGAATTAGTTTTGACGCTCATACGTTGACAACAGGAAATAAAGAATATGCCTCGAATCTGTTCCTTTTTCTTGAGCCTCTCATTTACAAAATTTATGAATCTCTAACTATTTGCGTCGGTAGCATTCGTACCCGTGGCTTTTTAATTTACCGCTTTCTTAGATTATTCGTTGACTAATTGTGAAAAAATGCACTTAAAACGGTCTTCCACTCCAAAAACGCATAGAGCCTTTATCCACTAATATCTGAGAAATTGAACAACTTGGCTAAATACTGTATAGTTAAATAAAACTAAAAGAAAATATTTCTCTGAGAAATCTCAAAAAAAAAATTTTTTCCACTAAGTTCTTCAACTATTAACTTATTTCTTTAACCATCTTGAGAGCATTGTTTACATACATTTGCAAATTGATTTAGTAATTTCCTTTTCTAGCGTGCCCTTTAAAATATAATTTTGAAAATGTAATAATATGGTGAATAAATCTTAAATAGAAATTGTCTGATGTTTTTCTCTTAAAATAAATTATGGAATCATAACTTCTTCGTTTTAAATCATACACTGATAATAATTGCTAGTTGATTATCTTTTTTTTTTTAAAAAAATACATATGGATAATTTATAGATCTTAATATATTACAATTTCATGAATGCTTCCAAAATTAAGAGGAAAGGCATTTGAGAAGAACAACCAACTCTATCTAGAAAGTGAGTTTTTAGAAAGAAAAAAAAAACTTTTAAGAGTGAAGGAAGTAAACCCAGTAAATCAAATTAGAAATAGATTGATTACAGAGTAGAAAAATATTTAAATAAATAGTTAAAATATATAAAGACAAAAACGTTTTTTAAAAAATATAGAGAGAGAGTAAAATATATTTTTCCTGTCACTGAACTTCCATTGAGGAGTCGTGTTTTATTCACGAGTTAAAGATATTTCACTTCGAAGATTTTTTTAAATTTTTCGAAATTAATTCGATGAATGGCAACGCTCGCTCTTACCATTTCCAAGTGTTTCTTCAATCTGTAAAGGCTATCAGCTGTTTCATTAACGCGTCTTGCCAGAGCACTTTCAACCATATCAGCTTGGTGTCGTAGATCTCTGTACCCATTCATCAAATGAGAATTTATTTTGTCACGCAGTATTCCTGACGTTCGTATCTCGTCTCTGGCATAGAAGAGTCGGTGGCGTGTAAATTCAATCCAATCTTGAGGAGATGACCATCTGTAAAATAGAGCGATTTGTTTGTGAAGGATTTTCAACAAAAAATACAGTTGTGTTAGTCGAACCGTTTTTCTTTTCTTCCAACATTGGTTTTATACAAGGTGTTCCATAATATCCGTTTTAATCTATATTTTTAGAATCATTTCAAAAATGCCAACACACCACGATTTACAAATTTATATTAAAGCTAGGATGAAACGAAAACGTAATAGGAATTTCTGGAATCGATGGGGAAGGTGAGATTAAACATAACGAATTAAATTTGATTGCCTTATGAAGCACAGAGATGTTTCTAATTCTGAGATAATCGGCTTCTGATATTCCTAAATTCTAAAATACTCCGCTCTGCCTCCTCCGCCAATCAAGAAAGTATTTGACATTTTTCAGTTTTACTTGCCACGATAGTGATTTGTTAAATTTTTATAACTTTTTTGCTTTTCCTCTTTTAACTCTTTCATTACGAGTGCCATATTTAGCAGGCATCCACGTGATGACCTGTGTATATGAGCGCTGTATTTAGTCGGCATCCGCGTGAAGACCCGTGTGTACAAGAGCAGTATTTAGCCTGCATTCAAGTGATGACCTGCATGTACGAATGCCGTATTCAGTCGATGTCAGCGCAATACCGATTGATAATTGGCCCAATCTGCTTCAAACTGCCATTGGCTAATTTTCCATTAAACTATAGTATGTGTAAGCTAAGAACTCCTCCCGCCATGACCCGACCCGAGTCGAAACTACTCCAAAATCGTGACCCGCACCCCTACTTGAAATAGCCATACCTCGTTACCATAGTCACCGCCACAGATCCAGACGAATGTCTGGGGGAGTTCTTAATTTAGACAAACTATATATATTGGATTAATACCACTAAAAGCATATTGTGAACATGCTTAACATGTTTTGTATATTGATTGCATTTTTGCTTATGATGCTTCGAAATCATCACTTCTAATATTATGTAAGACTTGAATAAGAAGATCTGAGCATCAGCTTACTGACATGCAATGTACACACTTCGCAGCTTAGAGCACCGTTCAGTGGCGTGTCTTCAGCAGAGCGGCTGACTACGGCGACGAAAGGGTTAAATTGTAAGCTGCAACTCCTAGTTTGTATGTTTTGTCACGTAACAGCTCGTTCAATAAAACTGAGAATATGTATTTTATCGATAAGTGCTTCTGGCTGTAGTTCAAGATCTAATCTGCATATGATATGATTGTTTTTCTTATTTTGTTATTTAGAAAGATAATTCCTTTTTCAGTCGAACGATTCTCTGTTTTCTATAATATTTGGATTCGTGCGTTAAGTTTCAGGGTGTGAAATGAAGTGTGAAGGGTATAAAATGAAGCTTACTTGTTTGGAATCTTCTGTGGTCCAGTATAGAATGCTATTTGTTCTGATGAGGTATTATTCATGTGAGCACAAATAGTATCTATATTGTAAGCTTCCCATTTGTCACTCCAATCTCTTTCGAGTTCCACTTTAGACTGCTGGTCTCTCCTGATAAAATAAATGATTCTGTTATTTATTTACATTGCAATTTTTATTTACTTATTTTTTACTATTTTATCCAAATGATGAAACACAATTTTAAGATTTATCCAATGTTATAATTTTAATTTTATATTAGTCAAATATTTTTCTCACATGCATTTGTTTCTTCTTCAAAAGCTTAAGAACAATATTAATTACAAGTGTATACGCGTCTCAAAAATTAATAATACAAAATGAAATGAATTTAAAAAAGTAAGGAAGTAAATAAAAAAAATAACGAAGTAAATAAAATAAATAGAGTTAAGTATGCAAATAACTTTTTTAATAAAAATTCTATACTTGAATATTAACAATGTTTGGACACATTTTTAGAATATTTTTTCTTTTTAACAATTCTACCGATATTCATATTTCATAAAAAAATTATTTATGATATCTTATTTAAATATTATTCTTAGACTTTAATCTTTCAAATAAAAGTACCTGCGTGTTGTTATTTTTTAATGAAAAATAATGAGTATAATGCACAAAAGCGGCGAAATTTGGAATAATTGTTCAACTTTTATTTCTGAATAATTGAAATACTTAAAAATTGCTTGTTTAGAGAACATATAATCTTCTTTTCTGAACTATTTATTTATTTGAAAAAAGAAGCTTTGAAACTGGAATAAAATCATGAATACAAACAATTAAATCTGCAATACGTAACCTGTGAAATATGCTTACTTTATTTGATTTTCTATCTCTCCGATTATCATCTTTGTTAAATCCTGATACATTTGAATGATTTCAATCTCCTACGAAGAGTTTTAAAAAAATGAATGAATAAAATGTGTTATCTGTTGTTTTAGAAATAATATTTTACATAATGCAAATAAAATTAATTACTCCCTGTTAAATGTTTTTATAATATACGATGGATGCAAGAGAACGTGAACTTTAATTGTATATAAAATATTTGGTATTATTCTTAAATAAAGTAAGGCTAGGTTTTAGGAAATGTATGTTATTGTTTCTAATGCCACTTGCCAATACCAGCAAGCCTGTTTGGTGAAACCAAGAGAATTTCAGACAGAAGATGCGTTTCTTGTTTTTCAGTGGCGCCATCTATGGCAGAGAATACGTCTTCAACCACACTTACGTCACAGCCAGTTTATTGCATGGTTGCCTTTCAAAGGTTGAAAAAGGACCTTGAACACAAAAACACGTATAGAATTCATTATTCATTTTTAGTGATACAATTTCTCTTCAGAATTAATCCAACACTATTAGCTGTACAAGTTACTAACTTGTAACTTGAAGTTAGCTGCAAATTTAATAACGTTAAGTTGAATCATGTTTTAGCTCCATTTTAGACTCTAAAAGGCTTTCACAGCTCTTAATATATGTACTTAAAATCCTTGTCAAAGAAAAGTAAAAAACTATGCATTATGGGTCGCATATCAATATTTCAGTGAAGGAAAAAATGTCATCGAAATCTCGTTAGGTTGATTAGGAAGACCTGAGTTAAAGCATCAACCTGCTTAATTGCCGGGAGAAACTGATGGACATTGGAAATCAACACCTTTTAGAAGAGAGAAAGCCTCCATATGAATCAATTTAGTAGTCCTACTTAACGAATATTGTGTAGTGAGGGGAAATAAGAAATATTTCACAATGTCCGATCTAGCAAACTACACAGTGAGGGATAATAGGTAAGATATCACAACATTCAGACTACGAAATAATCGGATTTCTTGTTAATGGTAACCAATACGGAAGCTTTCCCTCTTCTAGAAAATGTTGGTTTAATCCAGCTATAAACTTTGTTTTTATGTATTTAATCCCGTTTATAAGTGATCCATTTTTGATTTTCCCGTTTATAAATTCATTTGCGACACCAATGTGTGAATTTCTCAAAACTTTTTTTTTTTGCCAAGGATATTAAGTCCATACATTAAGGTTAGTGATAACGGAAAACTTTCTACGATACCATAACATTATACAATTTATTTCTACTAGAGTTAACTCGAAATATTTGTTTGAAACACATTTTTGAGGTTCGACGTGCACCAATAAATATTTTTTACCAACTTTTTATTTAGTATTCAAAAAAGGGATCTTACCCTATGAAGTTCATCCTGTACTTTATCATGAACCAAATCAGACGAAATCCTCTGATCTCGAAGGTCAAGACTCTCTTGGGCAACGATCAGACTCAATTGGGATTCATTTAACGAGTTCTCGAGCCTCTTCTTCTCCATGTGCAGCTTCTTGATTTCAACTGTCAGATCCTCGATCGTCTTCTCGAGGTCTTTCTGGCAGTCGAAAATGTCCTTCGCTCTGTCAGCAATCTTCTTGGTGACGGCATCCTGTAAAGTGTCGGTGAGAATCTTCTTCTCTTTGGCGAGCTGTTTACTTTGTTGGTTGATTCTGAAAAGTTTCAAAAGACGAAATAAGTATACAAGATGAGACAGATGAGTCAATACAGAGGTAAACTTGTAGATGTTTGGCATGTTTAGGTATACAAGGTGATTCATAATTATGAGGTGATAACAATAAGTATAAAAGGTGATTCAGCACAGAGATTACAAACTTGTAGATGTTCGGCATGGATAACATACCATGACCAAAATTGTTATCGTAGGCGAAAAAGACGCCGGAAGCGAAACCCAGTTATGAATTTCTTCTTCATCTGAGTTCAAACTGTTATTTTATACCTTTCTATATTGTCATAATTTTATGTTTTCTAATAACTGATGTGGAGCCGCGGTAGCTCAGGGGATAGAGCACTAGCCTCCCTATGAGGTGACTGGTTGATACAAATTCTGTTCCTGGCTCAGTGTTAATATAAAATATCCTCTGTTGTAGATGGATCGTGGGTTAAAATCCCCATTGCCGTCGGACTAGCATTAAAATGTTTGATTGTTTTTCCTCTCGATGTAAAGCAAATGCGGGTAAGTTCCATCAAAAAAGTTCTCCATGAAGGCTAATTTATCCCAATGCTTGATCCAGGAATTCACTTATCTTCTGGGTTGAGTTCAAAACTACAAGTCTGCGGGATTAAACATTGATAGTCATAAGCTTTGAATTGGACCAGCTTTTCAACGCCAGTTAGTAAAATAATAATGTCAAAAAATGCATTCTAATAAGCCTAGAAATTGCTGTTCTATCGAAATTCAATGATTCGATAGTCAAACTGGGGAACTCTGCAAGTTAGTTCAAATTTCGGTATAAATTAAGGAATAAACGTACCTTGCTCCTAACATCGGTAAACTGGGAACATGCCTGCTGGGAAGTCGTTAAATGGGAGACATATGCTCGATTTGATGTAAAAATTGAGGACACAGTCTTCTAAGAAATTGCTAGATCTATTTTCAAGGGCTTTTTTTAAAAAAAAAAAATCTGAAATCTCTTTGAATTTCCTCAAACTTTAAATAATTTGGTAAGTTTTCTTTTTCTCAAATTTAGAATTTTTTTTTAACGGCAGGCACTGAACACTCGTTCCTCGCCTCGGAAAATGTTGGAAGTATTGTTCTTTAACGTTACCCGGTGGGCACCTGTAAACCGAAGTCACGGAAGCAAGCAGCATTGCCTACGTGATTCATTGCCACAGATAGCCGTTCCTAGGGTGAGCCACATTCGCACATCACAGAGAGAAGCATCCGTGCCCTGAGCGAGATTCGAACTCGAACCATTGACTTCGCAATCAGGCACGCTGACCGCTCTGACACCTGGTTTCGCAAATGTGACTTTTAACATTAAAACATTAAAAAAAAAATTTGACCAAAAATTAATAAATATAAATTTTTAAAAAAATTTCCCGGTAGAAATTTGTAAATTACACAAAAATAATTTAAAATGAGCAATTAAGAAAAAGAAAAAAAAAGAAGATATTTTTGAAAATTCATTCAGTAGTTCCTAAAAAAATTAGTAATTGCTACATTTTATTGCTAAAATAACAATTTTACTTCAGTTAAACAATGAAATAGACGCCCGGTGGCTGAGCGGTAGCCCTTCGCGCTGTCGTGCCACAGGTCCCTGGTTCGATCCTCGGACCGGGCAAGGTTGACTCAGCCTTTCATCCCTTCAGTGGATCGATAAATGAGTACCAAGCATACTTGGGAACTAAACACTGGGGGTTCCGCTTTCGGCTGACCACCTTACCGGAACATCTGCTCCTGGCACCCCAGAGCCCAAGATGGTCAAGAAAACTGAGATGGGCACAGTAGGCCTTGGCCCTCTATGGGCTGTCGCGCCACTGAGTTTAGTTTAAACAATGATATATGATTAGCAAGTGAAATGACGCTTCGTCTGCGTTAGACCATTTCACTTCTAAAGAATTTTTTTTTAAATGTAGTGAAAATAGAGAGTGAATAACTATGCACTGTATAACACATCAAATATTATACTTGCAACAAACAATATGCATTAGACTATATGAAATCTTTACCTAAACCACTCCGCTCTCGTTACGTCAGATTGATTAAACCTTCTTTGATTGTTTTTGTACCATTCATCTATGCTGAGTATTTGAGGTGTCGATGGATTCATTCCTAAAAAGAGACAATACCTTTTATTAAGTAACTTTTCGGTTTCAAGTATGCTCTTATTGACAAACAGAAACCACGTAATCCATCCACAAAATAACAACTCGTAGCCTTAGAAATGGAAGTTGTTTAATACTACAGTCCACAGATGGCGCTATGCGCATCCTAATTAATTATTCTTTGAGCTAAAGAAAATAAATAGTGTATGTGTATCGATTCCTGTGTGTGGAGTGTTTCAATGTTTTCGATGTATATTTCAATATTCTAAGTTCATCTCCGATTCCAGTAAATTGTGGCAAATTCTAACTGAATTGTGAGATATCTAAACGTTCCACCTTTAATTTTATAGTTCCAAGTCCATACAACAACCGAGTCAGGTAAAAATTTATGAAACATTCTTTTTCCCGCTAATTGCTAAATCAGAAGTATTTATACTGAAATTATCTTGCATTCTCTTATTGATTGGATATAAACTCTACCTTCATCCACAGTGGTTTATATCCATTCAAAGGATATAAACCACCTTTTTTTTGTTATAAATTCTACTTACATGAACTATTATGCGAAGAAGAAAAAAGTTACCTGAACATGTTTTAACTCATTGATGGGGTTTTCACATAATAACATACACTCTTAATCAGTCGAGGGTTTGAACTGATTGTGTGCTAATATAATGTTATGCTAATTAACCAGTACTGGAGATTCTTTTAAATTGCGAAATTATCTAAAAAGATTTACTTTCTCTGAAAGAAACATACCTTAGCTTTCGACCAAGTCGAATTCTTTACTTTAAAAATATTTAGGAGAATAGTAGCAAATAGCAAAATATGGTCCCGATAGAGTTAGGAGAGCAGTCAAAAGTTTGGACCTCCTAATATTCATTTTACTTTATATTTAAGCTTAACGCAATGCCTCTCTGGCAAAAACTTTTGGTACACAATTGTAATTCTTGTTTATCCAGATATAATTGCATGAAAAATTATCTTTTAATTTTTTTATTGTTTACATTATTAATTGTAGAAAAAATTCTAAATTTTACATCTCGTTAAGCCATGTAAATTTTAAATGACAAAATCCGAAACTTTAATATAATTGGTTAAAGAGTTCTTGAAGAATGAAAATTTAAAAAATATGACATAATCAAAACTATATTACTCAGAAACTAAACGGGCAATTTCGTTCATTTTTACCACGTTTATATCAACTAGCCTTCGTGTATGTCTGTTCGGGTGGAATTTTGTAATCGATTTTAAATTAACTTCCCGACTAGCTACAGACTTCAAATTTGGCACATAGTTCAGAATTGGATGACAATGCATGAAAACGAAGAGAAAAAAGACATACAAAGTAAAATAAAATTTAGATTAAGGAAAATTTAATATTTTCGCGATTGTCTTTTGCTGTTGATTCGATTATTTCAAATTAGTGTCACATGTCAGTTGAAAAGTTTTGTGTACAGTGAGTAGAAAAATTGAGATTTTGGAAGTGAGTACAAAAAAAAAATAATAATAATAATAATATGTTTAAAAAACACGTTTTTGTAGTGGAGAATAATAATTAAAAAACAAAAATTTGAAAAACGAAAAACGTGGGGTGCATAAAATACATAACAGTACATATGCACATACATGTACACATTTTCTTACTCATACACATGCACAACCACATTCACATATACATACACATGCATATACACAAACATATTCAACATCCACATTCAGATACAATTACAGATATACATACACATATTCTCATGAGCACACATACTGTTACTGTAATGTATTTCATTCGCCCCACATTTTTCGTTTTTCAAATTTTCGTTTTTTAAATATTATTCTCTACTACAAAAACGTGGTTTTTAAAAATATTATTTTTATTTTTTTTTTTTAATTAGATAGTTTAAGACAGTGTAAGAATCTGTACTCTTACTATTAAAAAATTAATGTACTCTTACTACTAAAAATTTATTTGATCATAATCAAATAAAATATTAAGAAAAAGAATGTTTAATGATTTTAAAAAAAATAATATCTTGCAGGAAATGATCTTTAAATAAATGAGTTACATACATTGAAATCTGACATTGAGTTACATTGAAATCTGACAAATTAAGCATAAACGAAATTATCATTAAGGAACTCAAATATTTATTAGCTCTCCTAATGAAGCAATCGAAGAGAAGTTTCCTCCCTCCCCTATATTTTAAGAGTCAGTAATCCAAATACGTCCAAAAAAAGTATGTTTATTTAGGGAATGAATTTTTAATGTCTGATTTCGTAACCTAAAGTAATTTCGCAAATTAATTAGCATATTTAAGGTTAGTCTCCCAAGCGATTAAGACAAGCTGAAAAGACAATTGAATTAAAAGGGAACTTTTTTTCTGTTGCATGAAACATATTTTAGATACCTTCGTATTGCTGATTTCAAATCTACAATCGGTTTCTCTCTCCTATCTACGGTTTTTTTTAATGACATTTTTAGGCTATTTGTCCAAATATACAAGTTTAGAAACGTTAAATATAACAGAGGGGTGCATAAATGTTGCAATAAACTAAGAGAGTTAGGGCGCATCATCAGGATTAAAACTGAATCTCAAACAATGCTCTGAATTGTCGTCATACGCCGCTAGGGGCACTTCGCTATTATGAACTATTTCCTTGTGTACCTCTGAACAATCCATAATAAAGAAGGGTCTCTAGTTTCGTACGACGATGTTTCCGGGCATAGGCTCCTATGTAATTTTAATCCTGATAGATGTTTCCTAACGCTTCAAGAAGTTTGATAACAACATTTACTCGATCTCCTGTTACTTATAACATTTTTAAACTTGTTCATTTTGACAAAAATAGAGTGAAAATGTCATTTGACAAATTGCAGCTTTAGAAGAAAAACTAATTTCAGATTTGAAATCCCCCACCCGAATTAGGCAAGATGAATTATTTGTTAAAATATAAAAAAAAAATTCCCCTGGGTAATTTCAACAGGTAACACCACTTGAATCTTACATTTAGTAGAAAAGATGGCTTAATCCCTTCGGGACAGGCTGTTGCAGAAAACAGCATTTTTTCTTGGTCCACTAGCTCGAGATTTATACGTACTAGAGAGTACGTATATCTTCTAATGCGACAGGAAATTAGAGAGTGCCATACTGAGATTGAGTCGGTGTGACCTTAGGCCGCTAGAGTAAGAAAGGCACGTTTTATAAATTATATTGTGGGCAATGGGAGGGAAAATTACGCGATCACATACATGTGTTCCCAGTGCTTTTGTATGCTTTTTACAATTTAAATAATGTAAATGTTAATATAGGTGTTTAAGTTGCTTTCAATACAGATCATAAACTGAACATTAGTTTTCCCGATACAGCGGGCAACTCCATCTAGAAAGAAGTTTTAAAAATCAAGTTTATTATATGCTTAGTTACTTTGGCATTAATAAATTCTTGTTTATGTCCAGCCCAGAATGATTTCAAAGGTACACAGCAAGGTTAGTTTCGTCCTTGCTTTTATTTATTTACTTATTTTTGAAGCTTTTATGTACTGCAGGAAGAAGAAAAAAAAACTTTAATATCATTTTTTTTATACTTTTGAATAGCTATCAAGAAATTTTTTTATGGTTTTTTACTTGTTTGTTACTTATATTTTAGAACTGCAATGCACAAAAATATTGTATATTTTTAAATTGAAGAATTACATTGCGAATTAAAATGTAAACAATAAAAAAACGAATAACTCGAGTTGTTTTTCAACATAACTTTTTATGTCTCGATAAAAAAAATAAAAAAATAGAGGGAAGAAAAAGGAAAAAAGACAGAAGAAAACTTTCTGGAGATTGCTATAAACTTTCAATTGCATCCCTTTCTACTTTTTTGTATTAAGTTGTTACTCGTGTGACGCTGCCCTCGGTAAGTCGCAACACTTGGCACCATTTTGAAGCAGGATCTTACACGCATTTTTGCCCAGTAAGCAGGAAGGTACTAAATTAAATAGTATTTCAATATTTGAAATAAATCTTTTTATACCATTTCCTTAACCAAAATTAACAGAAATAATTTCGGTACGCTATTTAATCCTTTAGCATGCATGCTAGCATAAAACTTCCCTAATCAGGGTTAACAGATAAAACTATAAAGGTACACTTTGAACTGACATTGATTATACATGCGATTAGACTAACAGTGATTAAAGCAGAAGCAAGCTTAGTTTGTAAGACCTGCCTTGTCAGCATTTAAGATACTACATCTTATTTTGTATTATCCTGAGATTGATTTTGTATAAATATCTTTATAACTCGTGTGGCGTATCTACCACTATAAATATTGAATACCAATTGACTAGTATATAAGACATGTTAACTTGATTCTCTCTAGACTAGGTACCTTTTGATAGATGAAAGTTGACACAGTCAATAAGTATAAATTCACCACAATGGTGTACCGGACGTATCAATTGGTACTCAATATTTAAAATGGTAATTACGCCACACTCGTTCTATAGAGGTTAATAAACAACATAGCGAGTGTTAGTAATCTTGACAAGATATGAAAAAGTTACTTTTGATGTGGGGGGGGGGAGGTGAAATTTAAAAGAAATGGGAATTAATCTTTTCTTTTAATTTGTAAATGGGCTGAAAGGTAAACAAATATCTTCTTACCGTTAAACTTCTATTTCAGCTCAGGTTTTACTTTTTATTTATTATAAATTAAATTATAGTGCAATATCAGATAATAAAATGTAACGTAGTATGCATAATTGTATGACAAATTAAACAAAATATTTTTACTGTTCATGTCATTTTGTTTAATAAATATTTTTCTTTCATTAAAACGTCTTGTAACATTCTTTTACTAGAGAAATGATTATTTTCTAAATTTTCGTCAAATTATAAGTAACTAAAAAGATTGATACTTTAAGTTAATTGGGTGCAAGTGTATAGTCGTCAAAAAATTTAGACTCCAGTAAATTATTTTTTATTTTATTTATTTATTAAACACATTAAAATTAATAAATAGATTAATTTTCTTGTACCTGGTTAAACGAAAAGCACCAAAAGATTTCCAAAATCTATAAGAAAGATCTGATTTCCTTGAAAGACCTTATTCTAATGATGGTATAATAAACAAAATGTTGACAATTACGCTTTCTTATTTCAAGAAATGTGTAAGGATAACTTACTTTAGAAATAAAGATCCAATGTCATATGCAATTCAAAAAGCATCCATAAATTTTAATAATCACATACGTATAAAGAAAAATAACTTTGAGAAAGACAAAATCTTTAGAAGTTAGATTGAATTTTTTGTTGGGAGTTGAGTTTGTGGATAAACGTAGTTGCCATGGTAACAAGTAACCATCCAGAAAGTTAACATCTTTCTCCTTGTTTCTAGACGTGGAAATAGGAAACATAAGTGCTTAAAGTTTTTTTGAGTGCTGATATAAGTGTTCTTTATAAGAATTTAAAATTATACTTTTTAAATTTAAATTATTTTAAAGGTTAAGGTAAGGAAAATAAACTTCAAATAATTATTAATGAGAAAATTGTGAGTTGGCAAAAGCATAATCAAAAGGAAAGCCGAGCGGAGAAAATATGTCTTTGTCATCCGCAATATACAGTATTTCGCTGTGTATAGTCGCTTTTTATAGAAATAAAAAATAAATAAATAAATAAAATTTTAAAAAAGCGCTGTTTTTGCTGTTTATCTTAACGTTGCATTTTGTTTTGCCGCACAAAAACTGCAAGACATAGAAACTTGAAATTACTAAAGTGTATACAAAAGTGTTGAGTTCAGGAATTAAGATAGAATAAAAAATAAAAAAAGAACATTCGATTATTAGTTCGAAAAGTTTAAAGTTTTGAACTTGTTGGAAAAAATAACATACGGCCCACTTTACAGACCGCGGGAACGCAACTACAGAGTTAAAATTTGGCTTGCCGAAAAGGTCATATATGTTAATGAACTTCTGTGTTTCTTCTGAAATTTCAATTTGTTCGAAAGTTATTGCAATTTTTAAGTGTTTTTTTTTCCTTTTTTTTTGCGAGTTTTTTCTCACTTAATTTTGCTTTATGTTGCATTTTGCTTTTCTGCTCAAAATCTGTAAGACTTAGAAACCTAAGATTACGGAGGTGGGTTGAAAAATGTACAAGAAGTTTGATGGAATAAAATAAAAAAAAAATACGATTTCATTATTAATTCGAGAATAATAAACTGTTAAACTATGCTGTCGATGAAATGCAACTAAAGAGATGACATTTGACGTGTTGAATTCCAACAAGAATTCAAACTTAAACAAGAATTTTTTTCAAAACTTGTTCGAAAGTTATTGCAATATTTTTATTATAATAATTACCCTCCNAGTTGACATATTAATTTAATGTGCTGACATAAAATTTTAATAATTATATACTTTCTAAACAAAGTGATATTATTTATTGACTTTTAAGAAAAATTTTCTTTAAAAAAATGAATGAGAAAAATGGTTAATGCTCAGAAAAAAATAAATTTGCACACGGAGAGCAACTGTAAAAATTATGCTTGATTAAAACCTCAGCACAACCCATCTTCTCTGAGTAATTACTCTCTGAGAGATGGGAGTTCGATTTTCCATGTTATTGATTTGTCGAACTTTAGTCATCATCAAAATACAGCAGATGGCAATCCAATCGTAGTTTTTGTAAAGAATGAACATAAACTACTCTTCCTTTCCCCATGATCTTCAATAATGAATGAGAAGCGACCACAAGGGCTGGTAAGCGAAGCAACTAATCGGTGGTCCACTTAGTAAAAATCAAGAAAAAAACATCCACTCTTTTTAATCGTGGACTATAAAGGAAAATAATTTAATTTTTGTCTCCCAACGCAAAAAATGTAGTGCGCATCGTTTTCGAAAATAAATTAATAATAATATAAATAAAAATTCGAAAATAAATAAAAATTTCGTGGTGATAGGAGTTTATAATGGAAATGATGCGTTTGACGCGGAAATGATGCTTTTCAATTTATTTGTAGCAAAAAAATTTAAACATATGTATTTTATAACATTATTTTCTTCTTTTTAGTTTTGTAGGAGATAGTAAGTTATTGTCAGAAAGAAATTAAAATTAGATCTCTGGAGGAGAAATTATCTCTAATCGATAGATTACAGATAAATTTTATTTCAGATTTAAAAAAAAAGGAAAAGAAACTGCAGTTTGTATTGTTCTCAGGCGCAGAACTCTAGTAGAAAATTAAGCACTCTTGCTACTCGGAAAGTTATCGAAATTTCGATTGGCATTAAAATCTATTTTTCCAGTAAAATGTATGCTACTATTGGTTATAAATTATTTAAACTGGTACTGGTTACTATTGGTTATAAATTAAGCATTCTAACTCGTTGAAAAGTAATTAAAATTTTGATTAACAAAAAATTTCCTTTGGTGCTAATGTCGTGATAAATTCAGCTTGCAGTGAATTTATCACGATAAATTCAGCATGCAGGAAATTATTGAAACTTCCCTTGACATCAAACGCAGTGCCTCAGAAGAGCATCAGGTGGTTTAGTTTCTCCGAAAGTAGAGGAAATTTCTGTTGCAAATTTTCACCCTCAGACACACGAATGAAAAAGTAAAAAAAAAAAATCTGTGGAAAGTTTTCCGGAATGTTTCCCAAACCGTCGTCAATAGCCCATTGTGCAGCTCTAGAACGACGTAAAGGAACCATACAGTTGAAATACTGTACCTACTATTATACCTACTAAATAATACCTACTATTTCAACTCTTATGAAAAGAACTACAACAACCAACTGTGGAAAAACCTATTTCACCAATCAGATTCTCATTTCCTCCCGACGGTGATCGGAGATGCCTGAATTGCTCACAGTGAAAATAGTCCTTTTAAAAAGGTTAAAAGTGAGTTTAAAAAATCTTTTTTTAAAATCACTTAACAAACTTGTGGCAACATCCGTGAATGTTTGCATGCACTTCGCTGGAGAAGCATAGACGACTTTCCTTGACTTTCAGCTTTTCATTAATTAGTAAAATAATTTTTCAATATTATTCTCTTTTATTTACTTTAAGTATGATAATGATGTAATATGGAGTGTATTTGATGCATATATATTGATGATAATTTGCTTATTGTTATAACACACTAGTACTAAAAAATTATAAAAAAACAATTGAGACGATAGATTTTTTTTCTTCTTAAAATTGAGATATTTAAATGTGTCCTAAATTACTGTGGTTGAAACTCTTTGTTCAAAGTATAATATTGTTCCTTTTAATTTCAATCCTTTCCGTACGTAAGAATTTTAATTATGCTCATTACAATTCAAAACTAGGGGGATTATCAAAACTACTTGGTTGTTTGCACCAAGAACTTTTATTCACCTTCATAAACTTAAAAAAATCTTTTGTATCTGTTTTAAGAGCATTACCTTAAATAATCCTTTAGTCATAAATGGAGTAATCAAAAACCAAGTATTTAGACAGATATGGTAATTATAGTGATTTTTTTATGTAAACATCAGTGTTCTAGTCACTAAAATATTTCTATCAGTCAACTAAACAATATGATTGCATAATATTAAATACTTTTAAACATTAAATTTAATTTAAAATTAAAGAAAGTACAAATGTTTTTTATCTTGCATAATACGAAAGTTCACCTTAAAATAAATTTTAAGAAAATATAATTTTATTGAGCATTTTATTAAATTTTAAGGAAGGAAATAAAAGTTATATATTCTGTTAAGTCAAATAAATACTTAATCAGTCAAATATTTACAGAAAGTTTATAGTGTTTAAAATTATTAAAATTAAAACAAAACCTTCATAACACTTTAGGGGTTAAATTAAAGAGTTAATGTTCATAGCTATCAAAATTAGGTTTTTACTTCAGATACAGTGTATTTTGCTAAACTCTACATAATTTTATCAAAAAGCAAGGAAAGTAATAGTTTTTGGTTTATTTGAAATGGAATTGAAAATGTAATAGTGGTAATTTAAAATTTTTAGTTATTTTAAGGAAATCGTTCTCTTTTCCATTAAAAACCTGCTAAGCTTTCATGAAAACTCATCTATATCTTCAAATATGTAACAATAATGGTATAGTTGTATACCATTATTGTTGTATAATATATTTTTTATATTTTTATTTCCTCCCTTTCATTCTTCTCTTAAGAAAATAAAATTTAACGGAAACTTTATTTTCAGTCTGCACAATAACTATGCTGCATAATGCATTGTAATCAAACAAATAAATTATATTTAAGCTATTCCATCATAAAATATATAGTATTGGATATTTACTAAAACTAACACAGAAATATTAAAAAAAAAAATCCCTATCATACAACAACCTAACCATATACCCGCTTAACCCCATCTCCGAAAACAATTTATAGTAAAAACAATTATGAAATTAATTTTAAAATTTCTGTGTCAACCTGTTCTTTAAATGTTCCTCTAACAGTTCGAACTAAAATTAGCAGTTTTTCCAGGTTTTAATGATGTTAGAAAAAAGTTCAACAGCAGCTTAAACTCATACTTTCATCATCACCAGATAGTTTTTAAACATTAAACTTTTTATTAGCTTCTGAAAGTGAAATTTTTTATTAGAAACCTGTTCTTTTTTTCAAAACCACTAACCATCCACATTAAAATTGATCAAAACAAAAATAAGGTTCTTTTAAAGATAACCAAGAGACAAAAGCTATTTTTTGACCCCCGCTTTCAAATATTTTTTTAAAAAATAAATAAGACATTTTCTCAACAAAAAAAAATGAAATAGTTGGGGTAATCACATGGTCCTTCAAGGATCTGGATAATTTACACAATGTGTAAACAAACTTTTTCGGATAATCGACCCTCTACTGTAATTTTATTTAATTGTGAAGGCGACTTAAGTAAAATAATTTTTTTGTCTTGATATTTTAAAATAGAATTTTTTTTTTTTTTTTTGTAAATTATACATGAAATTATAAAAGTTTCTCAATTTCCGTATTAAGATGCTTTTTTTTCTTTTAAGGTAACTCAAAATGGCTGGTGCTAGTGTAGATGAAAGTCAATTTAAAGGATGGCAAAAGCATTTCAATACCTATACAACTCGTGGAAGAGCTAATGTAAGATGCATTTTTGCTTGTTAAGGTTTTCTTGGTTACTTATATAATTTTTTATTATTTATAATAATAATTATTTGAAATAATATTAAATATTTGTGAATAATTTGTATTTTTTTTTTAAATGACATTAGAAATAGCTGTGTTTTGTACTTGAATTTTTACAAAATGAATTAACAACAAAAAATGCTTTCTTTAAAAGTGATACATAAAACTACATTTTAAAACTATTATACTGTATTATGTACACTCTGTGTTAGGAAAAATAAAAGTTTTAAAAATCGTCACAAAAAGTAAAATCAGGAAGAAAAGAAGAAAGTCAAAAATTTATATCAGTGTAGCAAAATCAGAAATTTTAATTGAAATGCCTCAAAAATCTGAGGAGGATCATTCTAAAATTCAGGCACATAAAAGTACTTGATTTGTTTCTAAAGAATAAAATTAGATTTTTTATCTTTTGGAAAAAGTGTTTAGCTCGATTGAATTGTATGACAGCTATTAAAGTGAAATTGTATGCCATGTTTACATGGAAATGAAATAGAAATAGTTTTAATTTCATTTGAATATCATAGAACCCTTCAACATAAGGTAAGTACTACAGAATTCCTAAATAGATGCTGCAAAATATTTAAATTACGAAGAGTGTATTTGTAATCCAATTGCTTCTGCAATATTTCATAGAAAAATTCAATCTTTCTTGTAACACTCAGAAATTTAGTGCTATTTGAATTATTACAAAGGTTGTATTGAAGTAAGTGAAAGAATTGTGAACAGTCATAATTTTTTTCAGATGTTTCAAATTAAGATTAAATTGTCATTGTTGAATTTGTATGCAGCATCTATTAAAACTGCACAAATATGCAACATTGATAATTAAAGAATTCTTAAATGGACACTGCAAAGTATTAAGTTACGAATGTCTGGATTTAAAATCTAATTGCTTCTGCAAAATTTTATAGAAAAAAAATTGTTCTTCTTTGCAATACATTGAAGTTAGAAAAAAGAGATGTCTACAAACATAATTTTTTTCAGGTGTTTCCAATTAATATTGAATTTTCATTGTCTAATTTATGTGCAGTATCTATTAAAACTACTAAAATATGTATATGCTTATTCAATTATGGGCACTACGGATTATTTATAAATTTGATCATGTTGTCATCTAGAAACATCATTTTCAGAGAAAAGCATTGTAATCTAACTTCCATAAAACATGGCTAAATAGGCAGTGACCTTTTGTCATTTAAAACTTTTAATCAATCCTTGTTTCTTTAAAAGACATCTAAAAAAATTTTTTTATCTAAAGCTTGTCTCAAAAGCTTTTTTCAATGATATAGATGCGAGTTTCTTAAACTATGGGTCGCAACCCCAATTGGGGTCACCGAATATTTCGGTATTTAAACTTATCATAATTTCATAAATACTGAATATTTTTACATTATTACATTAATCTAGAAATAGATAATATTTATGTGAGATTGCATTTTAATCTCCATGGAATCAAAATTGTTGATGGAATTTAAATTTTTTTGAAGAAATGCTTCATTGTGCCATGTCTACTGTTTTACCAAGATTTGATAATGTAAAACTACAATAGTATATTGCAGTACAAGTTCAAAAATTGACAGTTTCACCGACATGTGTGTCAGATTTGTGCATTGTTTATGGGATCCCACAAAATGTACATAAATATTATGGGTTCTTCACATTAAAAAGTTTAAGAAACGTGATATAAATTAAGAAATAAGGTAAGTATAAACAAGAATCATCATAACATAATTAAAAAAAGGTTACTATAGGCAAATGCTGCTGCAAGTTCCTAAGTTGTGTAAAATAACTTTTAAACAGGTTGTTTTAAAAATCTGAAACTATTGTAACATTCTGTTCAAAATGAATACAATATACTAAAATAATTTGTTAAAAAGTAAAAATAAAAAAGAAAGAAAAAAGTTTTAATTTCAAAAAGGGAAATTTTTTTTGAACTTTCTAGTGCTAAAATATTTCTGTGTAGAACAGCAAGGAAAATGTTCTTTTCACTATTGGTTAGTTATCAAGAAAAGGTTAAATTTCTAGATTAATAATTGCATTAACATATAATGTATACAGTATGTATTAGTTTTTTTAAAAATAATTTTAATGTTCAATCGTTTTTTAAAAGATAAATTGTACTAATTCTGGAGAAAATCCTAATGGCCCATGAGAGGCAGTTGTTTCCACATTGAGAACTTAAGATCTATACTTTTGTGCAATTCTTGTTTTAATTTTTTGGTGCTTAAATAAAAAGCTTGTTTGCGCAAGAGATTATTAAATAATATTGCAAACAATTTATTCCTAATATTATTTTAAATATTTGGGCTCATTATTTTAATTGCATTTGTCAACTAATCAAGCTTTTAACAAAAATTATGAAATCTCATAACATATTGATAATTAGGAAAAATCATAGACATTGCTTTACTTTATAATAAAGAAATGCTTGTTTTTAGTTTTAAACCATTAATTTGGAATAATAGTTAAAAACATTATAAGAAAGATCAATCAATGTTACAAGTTTAAACTAAGGATGTAGAAAGATTTTATGGGTAATCCATACTTTTATAACTATTAATTTATTTAACTATTAATCTAGATTTTAATATTAAACTGGATTTTATAGTGTAAGTTTTAAGCTAAAATTATGCACTGGTTACAATGAAAAAAAGGTTTTATGCCATTAGGTGTTTAATGAAAAATAAGTGCAATGCTTTAAACTAACTTAACTGGAAATATGTACTTTTTTTTATATGGGATATAAATAGGTCACACTTATTCTTTTATATTTTAGATTACTTTTGCAACATATGGTGCACTAGCTGTTATTGGTGTTTACCAGTGGTTGAAACCAAAGAAGAAGCCTGCAGCAAAAGATGGACAATAAAACTTATTTTATAGGATGTTAAATAACAGTTGAATTGATTTATGTATTTTTTTTTCTATTTGTTAGTGTTCAAAACCTGTCAAATAAATTGATTTAATTTACATTTTTCTTTTACTTCAATTTTCAGTGCAATCTAAATATTTTACTGTAAAATTCTTAAAGACAAGTATTTTATAATTATTAAAATGATTTGAAAAGTATATTTAATTGATATTTTTAATTTATGTTGGTTTCATATCTTCACATCAATTATTTTTTATATATTTTGAATTTGTTTCAATTAATGACCTCACAAGGCTCTGCATTTGTCTGGCAGCTTTATGTTAAGAATGCAGGCAACACCTACCTAGAAATATTCTAATTTCCTTTGCATATTACCAGGGCAGCCCACTGGTCAGGGAATTTTATTTTAACTTTAAAACGAAGAAATTAGTCACGGAAAGTCTTTTACAAATGGATGGAAAATTCTTATATCATACCTGGAAATAACCAGTCTTAGAAGTAACAGCAATTAGTTATTGAGATTTGAGTTTAATTTTAACATCTATTACAATTATTTGTTATAAAAATGTCAAATTTTAATCAAACTGACATGTTTCCAACTTCATTTAATTTTTTTTTTTTTTGCCCAAAAAATTTATATTTAGCATTACAAATAGAAAATCAGCTTCCTAATAAAAAAAAATCATGGTATAGGTAAAATATGGTCTGAATTTTAATTGTAATTTACCTGATATACTGTACCCATAAGATGAAAAAAAAAAGTAGCTTTAAAAATAATCGGGCTTAACATCCAAAATAACATTATAAAAGTATATTTATGGTGAATAGGATTCAGCGATGTAAAAAAAAATTATATCATGATACAGTGGAGCATCGTTTATACGACGTTTACATTTATACGACGTTTTAGTATGGTCCCAAATCATTCATTTTAATGTAAAAATATATCGTTTATACGACGCACAGAATCGGTTATACGTCGGTTTTTGGATTTTGTTCACGTTTATTTAATTTTTTACTTGTGTATTTTAAAAAAGGGCGGAATTTGCCAACATGATTGATACAGAAAAGGGTGCCAACAAGAATGCTTAGATGAAGAACGTAGTTTTTACTAGATGACTTAAAAAACTTGACAATGTTATGAAGATGCAAAAACGAAAAATTTTGATCGAACGAAAAAATTATTCATCGACCTATGTCCAGCGCACCCATCGGATACTAATTATTTTGGAAAATGTAAAAGTTCTCTTTTTTCCTGCAAATTTCACAAGTGCGCTTCAGCCATTAGATCTGGTCGTGAATAGAAATCTAAAATTGCATCATAGAAAGCAGTAAGTTCAACTCGCTATTCAAAGCATTGTAGAGACTAATCGCAAGAACATATAATTAAAGGTAACATACATTCAAATTGCTCACTGCAATTTTTCTACTTTGGTTATTTGTTTGTTTTGCTTTGTCTAATTTAGAAATTTACGTACACGTTAAACATTAAATTTAACTGAAAACAGAGTTTCAGTTTTAGAAGTAAAAATCGATTATACGACGTTTTTTGGTGGTCCCTTTAGCGTCGTATAAACGATGCTCCACTGTATATTGTTTGTTAGACATAGTGATGTATCATGATTTTAAATGTGTTCGGAAATTATCAATCAGAAATTTTTAATTCTATCAAAAATAAATAAAACAATTGAAACTATAACAAAAGAAAATGCTAATTCTACAAAAATGATTCTATAATCTGAATAGCATTGCTCAATTTTTTCAATTGAAATAATAAAGATAGATTGACTTACGACCAATGTTTTAAATTAAAAGAAAAGTTTTATTGTAATTTTTTTTAAGTTTAAAATGACTTAAGATTAGTTTAGAAATAATAATAAAACTGTAAAAAATAATTTTACATACATACATTAAAAAATTTAAAAAAGAAAACAAACCAAAGAAATGTTTTCTAAATAACATTTGTTTTAATTATTTGTTCGAAAAAATAACGTGCATTTGGAACATTATTAAAATTTTTATTTAATTTAGAATAATCAAGTTGTATTGACGATTGGTCGAATTCTATACTTAATAAATGTAGGTTTTTTCTTTTTTGAAAATAAAAGACTAAGATGATTGATGAAAAGAAATGATTGACGACTAAAGATTTATCGGTTTAAAAATAATGCTGACTATCTAACAAATTATCAAACTAACAGGTATTGAAAGAATTTTAAGAAAAGTTGAAAATATACATATATATTTAAAAGCACGATTGTTAAGTATTAAAAAGCGTTAAAACATTGCTTAACTTTTTATTTAATTAAAAAAAATTAGTCGATTTAACTAATAGCCAATTTAAAAAAAAAATAATAACGCCAACTTTGTTTTAATGTTTTCAAAAATAAAAAATTAAATGTAAGCTTTGCGTTAATTTTTTTAAAATTAAAAACGACTGAAAACTTATTGATTGAAAAGTATATACCTACATGCATTAAATAAATTTAAAAAAAAAAAAGCTAGCTTCTAAAAATAGACAAGGAACGTTAAATCCAGACAAAGAGACAGCGTTAGCGTAGGCAAGGATCCTCGTATAATAAAATCGTTAAACCGCGAGCGTCATCTTAAAACCGATTTCTGATGCATCGATTTATCGCCCAGTCCTAATGGTAAATAAAGGTTAACTTGCTCAATTTAGTCCAGACGCAGTAATTAAAAACAAATCTTCTAAAATTTAAATTCGTAAATAATATTTGCTGCTTAATTAGTCCACTAAAGCTCTAATATTGCTCAAAAAACAAAATTAGAGTTCCAACTTTGCCTAGTTATCCAAGTAGAGCTCTAATAATGATTAATTATCCTACAAGGTTCCAGTTCCGCAGTGGACTGATCGTTAAGACACGGTTCCCAGATGCATCACTGGCTACGGTCATTGTGTGGGTGGGTGACCACTTGGATCAGTCTGCGTAGGGACCGAAAGTGTGCGGTATTAGTCCTCGTTAAACTGTTCTACCGTAAAGTGCTCGACTTCGCGTGTAGGTCGTCGGGCTACAGAAGCGGGGGTACCATCCCCTCTGCAGAGGATCAATATTGTGATGGCATGTCTTTGGATCATCCTCTGTGGTGTTTCCTAGACCGTCGCCAATAGCCCATCGTGCAGCTCTAGTGTGACGTAAATTAACTACAACTACAAGGTTTCAGATAAAGCTAATAAATTAAAAAGTAAAAGATTTATTATTGAAAGATTCCTTGCTAATTTATATCCTTTAATTGAACTGACATGACAGTGACTAACCGACATGTAATGGTCCTGCAGACCACTTTTATTTTTTAAAAAATTAGTTTATTTTATTTTTTCCTCTCTGCCGAGTTCTTTTGTATTTATTTTTTAGACTATTACGTTGCATTGTTGCAGTTGTTTTCAATGCTGTGATGTATGTATCAGTGGTCAGAATTACCCGGCTACTAGTAGCGAAATTACTGTTGTACCTACTTTTTTTGCAATTTGTAGTATAGTGTGCTACTTGAAAATAAAATACTCCAGTATGTATCGATTCCTGACACATACCTTTAACATTAGTTTAGTGAAAAGAAAAAAGGTTAAAACGTTATTAATAGAGCCCGGATTTTGATGACCTAAAAAATCTCAATTAATGCCCTTAAAAAGTGCAAAAAATGCCCTTAAAATACGAAAATTGCGCTAAAAATGCCTTATGACATGACTTAAATAGAAGTAAAAATATTGAACTAAAACAATGTTTTACTCTTTAAAATTATTATGAGTCGTTTCAAAAAATATAAAGCAATGCAATACTTGTTCTACGTTCATTAAAGTTTGAAAAATATGTTTTATATCCTAAAAAAAAAAAAAAAAGGAAAATATATTGACTCCAAAACATTTTCATTTTGTATAGAAACTTAAATGAATATAACAACTTCCATCTCATAATATTACTAAATATCAGAATTACAGTGGATTATTAATTTTTTTTTTAATATTTTGAAATGTAAACGAGCGTCTCTTGTCTGAAAGCAAATTTTTATACCAGGAGAAGCTTCTTTCAACGTCTACTGATGTTATTGGTGCGTACTTGAAAAGGACGTTCACACTTACTGACAATTCTTCTTCAATTTGAAAAGATGTTGCTTCACCTGTTAATATCCTAGAAATTTTCTTCATTCTTTGAAAGCCAGTGTAATAATAAAAATTAGAAAAATTTAAAAAATGCTTTAAAATGCAAAATACGCCCCAAAATTTTAAAGAAAATGCCTTATAAATCTCAAAAAATGCTCTCAAGGACAAAAAATGTCCAAAAATGCAAATGTCATCAAAATCCGGGCCTTAGTTATTAATTTCCAATCTGATTGATATAAACCTCGTGGGTAAGTCAGTAGACGTAGGGGAAATACACGTGTGGTCGAGCTTTAATAAGAATTACGTATCAATACTATTTAAATTAGCCATTACGAATATTAGTTAATTTATCTCTTAAATCACACCTTTAAATGCGAATGTACACTCATAAAATATTGATGTTATTTCAATGGAAGTGAACATATTTTCTTTGTAATTTTCGATGTACTTAATTTTTCAAAGGAAAAAGAGCATTAAACACCTAACAAAATTACACGTATTTGATAATTAAATATCTGCTGTTCAGCAAGTCATGAAAAGTTGAATGAAAAAATTTTCAAAAAATGGTTAAGAATAACAAAATGGCTCATGTAAGCATGAATAATTATTCATTTTACTAAAAATAAACCAATTTTAGTATTCAGAACCGTTTTCAATATATTTCTACCCAGCAAAGTTCGGCCCTTAAAATTAGCAAAGTACTCACTACGTTTCAAAAGTAGTTAGTAGCCGCTACATTTTTAAAAAAAGTAATAATAGCTGCAGTTAACTACATTTGTAATAAAGCTGTTGTAACTATAATTAACTTTAAAAATAATGTAGTTTTTCCGACAGCTGGTATGAATTTATCTTTTTTTAAACATAATTTATTGAATTATTTGGTATTCATTTCTATTCCATTTATACTTTAAAGCTATACATAATCATAAAAATTCAAAACTTAAAGATGAATGTATAAAAATTCTAAATAATTTTATAATTAAAAAAAAAATTGCAAAATAGGCGGGAGAAAATGTTTTTTAATGGAAAATCTGGTTTTCGTGGGGTACACCGTTCCCCCCGAATGCCCCTCTGGTTATTTACCAGCTGCATATTTTGACAGAGGAGTAGGGTTATTTGTATTGGTCCAGTCAAAAAATTTCGCCAGGAAAAAAAAAAAAGCCAGATTTTTGGGCGCCCCACACGTGACCTTGCAGGTCAGTTTGGGGTTGTTTTTTAATACAGCGGGCTACTTTGCCGGCCATATTGATACAAACTGTAGCCATCATAAAACGTGAGTTATTTTAAATTCATTCTTATTTAAAGTTCATAAATTGTTTACGTATACTTTAGCTTAAAAAATGTACATATTTGCTTTTGTTTAATGTGTAGTAAATTTTTTTATTATTATATCAATAATAACTAACTTAAATGTATTGATTGAAAAAAATAAGTCAGTTGTGTGGATAACATGTTTAATATGTTTTTTTTTTTTTTTTTAAATTTCTATATTAGTGTACTACAGGCTTTCAAATTTAAATTGCTGGCATTGCAATAAGTTGTAAATAAATTCGGAATTTTACTAATTTTTTATTTATTGTTATTGAATTAGTGAGAAGGAGTTTAATGCCCTTACAGTATATATATATTTAGTACTTACTAATATATCTAATCTATTATTAATACACTTATTTTATTTATAATTTACTGACTCAAATTATTACTTTACGCACTGGTTTATTATTATTTGCGATTGTTAGGAAATTCGTGAAAATTGAGCTAGTTTAATTGTTGCCATTAATAAGAATTTACCTATAAATAATTCCCCCTCCCTCAGAATTACAATTTGCGAATTTCACATGTGTGTACAAATGTCTTCAATATTGAATTAAATATTTACAAATTATTTATATAATACGCTAAAAGACGACATTAAATGAAAACAACTAGAATTCGGAAAAAGAAATGTTGAACACAGAAACCTTTTTTGATCCAATGAATATAGCTTTGCGTTCTAGGACTCAATCTTAATGTTTCAAGGGGTAACCTCAAATATGATAATTAATTAGTGCAGACGATATTTTAAATTACGAAATCAAACACGAAGACGTAAAAAATACTTTTTTTTCTCCATAGATTCAGATTTCTTACTCCTAAAATATTGAGGGTAGCCGCAATCTTCGAAATATGGTCCCAAGTTTGGGCGGCTATTGTTATGCTATGCTAATTTTATTTTTTGCGTATTTTACCATATCTCAAGAAATATTTTAAGCGAATTAAAATTTTTTTGCATACAATTATACAATTCATTTATCCAAAGATAATTTCTTTGCAAAAATTAATTTTTAGTAAATATTTATTATTTTTTCTTATTTTATTTAATAATAGTCAGAAAAAATTTAAATTATAAAGTATGCAGTGTTTTTTTTTTCTTTTTACATCATTTCAAAGAATGTGATTTTGCATGGCGAAATACAAAATTTTAACGAAATCGTTCAAATACTTCCAAAGAAATAGACTATAATAAAACTCCTATGTTTAAAATTCGATTTTTAACGAACTACTCTACCGATTTCGTTAAAATTTTGTATTTTACCATTTAAAATTACATTCTTTAAAATCATGTAAAAATTTTATAAGCTTTACAATTCAAAACTTTTTCGACTATTATTAAATAAAAAAAAAAGAAATAATATTTACAAGAAGTTAATGTTTATATGGAATTATCGTTGGACAAAATTATTTGCAAAAAAATTTCAAATTGCAAATTGTTCTCGAGATATAGCGAAATACGCAAAAAGTAAAATTTCTTTCCATACTTTGGACCATCTTTCCCTGATAGCGGCTGCCCCCTACAGCTTGGCCAGAAAAAGTACGTTTTTGTGTTCGATTTCGTAACTTAAAATATCGTTTGCATTAATTAATTAGCATATTTGAAGTTACCCGTTCGAATTATTAGGGCCTTCTACACTTTGCAAAAGAATTTAAATGTCTATAATGGCATAGAGGGGTTCCTCTATTGTTGTCCTTGGTCTACGGGGAAAAAGAGCGAAGAAACACTTGAATCTGCGGCGAGTGGATTGAATGTCTGGTGCAGCCCCTCCGTTTATTACATTACCCCTGCTTTTCTTTAGCAAGTTATTGCTACTTAACGTTCTCGAAATAGTAGCTACTATAAAATAGCTAATAAATTAAGAATACCGTGAAAGTTTATATAAAAAGAATGTCTTTCTGTCCGTGGTCCAATTCTGTAAGAGATCAGGGTCTCAGTGAAGTGACCAAAAGAGAAAAAAGATATGTTCTAAAGTGTTTGTTCCAAACTGGAATCTGAATATGTTTTTTTTATTTACGCATAAATAGTTAAATTTACTTAAACATTAAGAGAAAACACATGAAGAAAATTATAGCATACGTTTATAACACAAAAAAAAGTATAGTTTAATATTGTGAGGTTAAATTTCAAATCTTCTTTTAAAGGAACTGATTTTCAATTATTGCGAAACCATAGAGTTAATTTTAAAAATGTTTTATTGAAAAAAAAGAAACAATAATTTGAAGTGAATGAGTTTTTAAACACTCGACTCTCAAAAATAATAGAATAAGGCGTTTGATTTTATATATTGCGTATCGTAAGCATTATTTAACGCTACTATAATGGTAACTGACTGCTCAAATAAGCTAAAGATTCAGTATTTCAAACAATAATGACTTCTTATTTAACAACGAGATTAAATATTTAATTACATATTGAGTTCTGTTATTGTAACCTTTCGTTTATTTCTTATAATAATAGTTCGGATAAAAAATATTTCAAAATTAAATAAACATAAGTTACATATAAAGGCCATTAATAATATACAAGTAGAATTTCTTCTTTATTCTTTTTAATATTTTTAATTCTAATTTTTTTATTATCATTATTAATGAATTATTCTTTTTTAGAAATACATTTCAGTCATAAACTGATCATGATAAATATAATCAATCATAAATTGATTGTTAATCATGATAAGATGGGTAATAATGAAGAGAATGAATAGGTAATAATGAAGGTTTTTTAAACGAAAATAATTACAATACAAATACAAACAATAAAAACAATAGTAAATAAAATCTCACTTAATAATTTATTTTTTTCATTTTAAAAATATTAAAAGTGCCTAAGACTATTTTGAAACAATATATTCTGGAAAGAGTAAAAACAATTGCCCAAATTCAAATGCCTAAATAAGAGACTTTTTTTCTTCTAAAGAAACCTTAGTAATGATTCTCTAAAAATGAATCGAACTGATTTTCTAACAAATCGACTCTTTCGTCTTCAAATTAAGATCAGGTGGCCGTATTCAAAATACAATTTCAAAACCTAAATTACTTGGCGAAAAAAGAACTTGAATCATTTTCCTCCCCCTAATATGTATATGTGTTCTTTTGTGCACAAAAACTAACATTATTTCTGAAAATGCTGTTATCCATTTCATTTGGTATCATTTTCAAAGAAATCTTATAGCAAACTAAATTTCCCCTTTTTTTATAAATTTATTGGTTACTGGCATCTGAGGGAGAGAGCTTACTCAAAAAATAGTTATAAATTCGAAAGGAAAGAATGCATTTTAGAGATTTAAACCTAAAATGTAGATTATAAAATATGAATCGCACTCAAAATTAAAGTACGGAGACATAATTTTTATTTATTTTTTGGATTATCGTTATCCAAAAAATCGGACGACGGCACACATCAGAAAAATAACTATGTTTCTTACGAAAGAGAGGTTCGTAATATTTCCAAATATCAGACGGTTATATTTCATTCTATGCCATTGATTTTTCGGCGGAAGTGATATTTTTAGTTACTAAAGAAAGTATTTTTTAGCACAACTGTGAATTCCTCAACGTCGGGAGATACAACTTTTTGCAACTGGTGTGTTCTGAATTAAATGCTATTTCTCTTATCTATATATCATTATTATTATTGAGTTTTGGAAGAGTATATTTAAAATAGTTCTTTAAAACTTTTATCTCCTAAGTAAATCAAAGAAAATAGTTAATTCAGTCTAAAAAAAAAAAGCCATACCATTGGACAAATAGATGTATTATTGAAAGTGAAATAAAAAGTTCAGTATTATCTATCACAAAAATGTAATTTAATAAGATAACATAAAGTTCTGAATTTATATGATGAGTAACAAACGTTTCATGCATAATATCAAAGTATAAATAGTGAAAGTGCTATAAGCATCTGGGAGTTAATTTCGTCGTGTGCTAGCCGAAAAGAAGAAAAAAAAAAGCTAAAATTTTTAACTGAAGATTAAAAAAATGTGCTAAGGTAAATTTGAAAATGTAGCGAGTTAAAAAAAGTAGCTGATTCTAAAAAGAAATTATTTTTAAATAAAAAAAATTACACATTTGAAATGCTAACGAGTAAAAAGTATAAGTACAAAACTTCAAGGTAACAATATTAGGTGTATACAAAGAAAACAGAAAATACAAAATAACAATATTTTATTAGAAACAATGAGTAGAAAGTTGAAAATTTTGTACAATTAAATGTATTTTAAACATCCGTTGCATATTTTACTAATTGTATTACACAGCAAACTTTTATACTCAATGCAAGAAGATTCTTAATTGTTTATGCTCACTTGCCTTTTTCTGAGCACAGTTTAATCGTAAAAGATATAACACGCGCGAATATCAAAAACATATTTAAAAAATATATAATTTTGAAGAAAATAAATTTAAAAAGAATGTGCGAGAGGAAAACAATTGGAGAATGGAGAGAAAGTTGTGATTTACATTACAAGAACCTTAATAGAATTATTTAGCAAAAATATTAATTTTTAAAAATAAATGTTCTAAAAATAAGTAAACACTATTAAAAATGGGTTATGATACTTCATAAAGTTTATGACATTAAGTTCTGAAAAATTGTGCTCAATAAATTGTTTTTAGAAAGAAAAAAAATATTTTATAATTTTTCTCTAAATAAAAGTGTTAATTTTTCATAATTAGATTTTGTGTTAGATATCGCATTAAGAGGATATATTATTTCAACATAGTTGAACATCTTTACTCTTTTTAACTAAAGAAGCAAAGGAGGGGGACGTTTGTGAGAAACAATGATTTACTTCCTTGACGCAGACATGGCCAACTAGAGGGGGGCCTTTTAGTTGGCCATGACCCAGGGGTCAACGAAGAGGGGTTCCTGAAGAGAGAGTGCATTGGACGAAAATAACATAATAATGTTGTGTTCATTATTTTACAAAAGAATAGTTGTTTACAATGAAAAATTTTCTT